CAGAGATTCGCAAAACCTCTGCCAACCTAATTTTTTTTTTTGCTAAGCAATCTTTTGGTTTGAGCACAAGCCTTACGATAAAGTAAATAATTATCCATTGTTAGATTTGAAACATATTTGCTTTCAGCTTCGTTACGAGACTGAACACTGATAGTACAATCCCTGTCCCACCAGGGGGGAGAGCGAAGGCGTTTAAGAGAAGTATTTTTATTGGGGATGGCGAGGTCAGCTGAACTTAGTAGAGAAGTGACAAAATAATTGTAAATATCATGTAAATTAGAGTGGGATAAGGATGTATTGGGGGGGAAGAGATGCAAGTTTTTGATCCATTAACTGTGAAAACTTGTTCCAGTCTGCTAAATGAAGTCTGTACTTCAACAGAGGGATGTGATTGACTGTTGGAGGAATAGCTTTACATAAATTTAATACTATGGGGAAGTGATCACTACCATAGGAGTTAGGCAGAACCATCCAATCAATTGAGGCTGCCAGAATAGTTGAGGAAAGAGACAAATCAATAGCCGAGGGATTCTGTAATGGAGACACTCTCCTTGTAGGTGACCCATCATTTAATAAACAAAGATTTAAATTTTCCAGCATATCTATGATAAAGTGAGATGAAATGTCACAAGCGAGGGAGCCCCACAAAGTATACTTACAATTAAAATCTCCCATCACTAAGAGAGGAGTAGGAAGAGAGGAAAGGATAGAGCTTAAGTTTAAAATGATGTTAGGATTGGGGTGGGGAATGTAAACAGAAACAAATGATATGTCATTAATTCTAGAGGCAACAATATGGAATTCTGAGGGATGAGAGGGAATATGGAGCTTGGTAAAGAGAATGAGTCTCTTAATAAAAAGAGCACACCCAGCCCAACCATCATCCCTATCATCACGCAGACAAGAGTAGCCTGGGAGCCTAAAAATGGAACGAGGCCTCAACCAAGTCTCTGCAATAGCGCAAACTACAGGGTTATATTTGTTAGCTAAAAATATTAAATCAGCCTTTTTATGACGAACATTCCTACAGTTCCATTGAAGGATGTTGAATGATACGGTTTTTTTAATTATGGTATCTAGGAGCTGTTCTAATAAGGGCAAGACATTGTTCGGTAGTGAATCACTAAATTTTGACACCATGTTAATCAAAGAGCATGTGCGTAGCTCAATCAGATTATCGTTAGGAGTAGCATAAGGAGTAGGACTAAGTGTTCCAAGTGCACTGCCATTAGGTTGGGAGGATTTGGGAGTTCTAACAATTTCTTGATGAGCATGTTTATCATAAGATTGACTCTGGGGGGATCTAGGACGGGGTTGCTGAGGAAGAGATTTATTGTAGACAACAGATGGCGACCTATGAGAGTATGAAGAATGTTCATAAACCAGGGATTGTTGTGAAGGGAGAGGGCAGGCATTGGAAGAAGAAGGGACATTACATGGGACCCAAGAAGGGACGGGTGAATTTTTGGAGAGGAGCGGATTACATCAGCAAAAGATAATTTGGAAATGGGAAAGCGGCGTGATGCTTCAGAATAACTAACATTCTCTTGGGATATTACATGTTTGATATTTTTCTGGCGCAAATGTTCTGGACAGATAGGCTCAGTGGCTTTATGATGACCTCTGCACAAGAGACAAACTGGTTCAGGCACTGTACAGGAGTCCCCAGGGTGTTGTTGAGCACACTTAAAACATCTAGGTTTAGATCGAAATTGAGCACGGACATGGCCAAAACTGCAGCAGTTATGGCATTGTATGGTAGGGAGTTGGTATATGGAGACTGGGAGAGAAGCATGGAAACAATAAACTTTATGTGGGAGAGTTTGACCTAGGAAGGTCAACACAACTGTGGTGGATGGTTCCCAAGTTGGTCTAACATTATTGTTTTGCCGATTTTTCACATTTAACCTTCTAGCTCTTATGACAGGACCACAATTTGGAGGGCATTGTATCCCAGAAACCAGTTCTTCTAGGGACCACTCCAAGGGTATTTGGCGGACAACACCCATTCGAGAAACCAGGAACTTTGGGACCTCTGCATTGAAATGATTTTTTTGTAATATAGAATTCTCAATAAAGGAATTGGCTTCTACGTAATTTTCAAATTGAACAGATATTTTATTTCGGCCTAATACTTTGATGCCATCACACACAATACCAGAAATCTTGTTTTAATGTAGTAGCTGTGCAAAATTAAGTAGTTTAATAGAGAGCCCTTCAGAAGGATGAGCTTCCATACGAGACACGTGGACAGTGAAGGGACCTAGATTAAATTCAGTATACCTAATTTTTTTGTCAGGCTCAAAACCAGGTCTAGTGTAAGTATACTGAATTGAAGCAGCGGGAGTAACGTTTTTTTTGGATATACTAGCGATTTCTAAGTCCGCTGGTCTTTTATGAGGACGACTAGGGGTGATAAACTCAGTTATAGGCGCCATGTCTATATCAGAGGATGTGTTTCCTCCTCCTCCACCTGGGGGAGGATCATCATCTCCTGCATCACACATCCTTCTTGTTAAGCGATTACATATAAGACACTTACCAAATTAAATAAACCCACAACCACAAGAACCAACAACAATATGGATACACAACTGAAATAACTAAATCAAACTTCCAAGAAAAATATAACTAAAGCACGTGTCAACGTCCGAATCCTTCCGAACTCGCCGACCTAAAAAAAACTATATAAGCTTAAAATATATTGTTTATAAAGATTTGACAACGACTCAACTTGAATTGTTTTGCGAACATCAAGGCATACTATTGATAGGAGATTTTTCTGATGGAGTTGCAGTTCGAATTTATCCTACTGTCAGACAAGTAGATGCTTACAATACATACATGATACCTAAGAACACAAAATCGGCGTATTAGTTGTGTAAAAACGATGCATATTTATGCGGTAGCAGCAATCGTGGTTGACTCGCTGTCATTGTTTGAAGAGTTCTGTTGTCTATTTCCGAAAATCTCTTATATTTAAAAATGGATTTCTGTTCGTTAGTCTCGCTAAAACTCGATAAGGCCTGGACCAATTTGGCTAATTTTGGTTTGAAATATTTGTGGTAGTCCAGGCAAGGTTTAAACGACGAGAAATTATGGAAAAACTGCATGGAAAATCGAAATAGCAACAATTTTATTTACCCATACAAACAGTTACTACCTGTCAAACAATTTATGGGTGCGTTCCGAAAATTCTTCTATGTGTTCAGATTCAGAAATTCCCTAGAAATAATTTAAATGGCAAAACAACGTTGGCTGGGTCAGCTAGTCATCAATAGATCTATATGAAACTGTTTGTATTCGATATCATCATCAGACATCAACACATCATTATCATTCCCCTGCCCTTATCCAAGCTAGGTGGACTCGAAACAACGTGTGCATCATGTTGTAATTTGTTTTGAATAGGTTTTTTACGACCGGCCGCCTGCCTGACGTCAAGCCTCTTTGGAAAGAAACACCCATATCATTGGGGTGCACGTGGGGTAATCCATTTTGACTATCTAATGATGGTTAAAACGATTAATGGCGAATATTATGCTAATTTACTGGGCCAATTTAACAAATTTTCGATAAGATGCCCGGTTCTTTTCTAGCTCAAACGTTGAGCATAACTATTCTTTTACGATTATTTGATATCACGTTATATACTTAGATTTGATATTGTAAATATTTTTAACATAGAGTAATACTAAAATTAGTTTTGACATAAAATATTAACTGTAAATATTTCTGTCTTTATACGAGGAGTTTACTTAAATATACCAAAACGAAATTCTCTTAACAGGGTGTTAGACTTACATGAGTGGCAATGCCATAATGAAGCTAATCGTATGCAACTAAATATAACTTTACTTAGTAATAAGGTTATCTGCTCTTTATGTGTCATTGACCTGCGTTGGTTATAGGAACATGTTCTCATTGGTCTCCAGATACGGTCACAAATTCCTAGCATCTAAAACAAATGCAGGTCGAATGTCGCATAAACGCAGCATTGTTGAGTTCAAATGTTATCATGAATGGTGCAACATTGTAATGCACATGCTTTAAGTGGAGTATCGAAAGTGTATTAATTATACTACGTATTCTTTAAGTTAAGCCTTTTTTTAATAAAAGACGAAGATCGGTGTTCCCTTACTAGAAGGCTAGGAGGGTCGCGCCGCTCGTATGGTATGGCAGTGAAAACCACTTTCATAGAATTTTACAACATGAAATGAGGTTTGCCTCCTCTTGCGTAATTCGCACATCAAATGAATTGAAAAATTTCCCCTTTCAATTACAATTTGAGCGAGTACAAGGCGAGAGTGAATAGGTATTTACCGAGCTAGTATGTTAATCATATAAGAGTACATCTTTACTTATATTTACATAAAGTGAGATGGTAGTTGAGCACTGGCCAGTTTTTGGATAAGCAAAAAAAAAGTGGGCTGCCGAACTTTCAGAAAATTCAAAATTTCCAGAACGGAACCGGGCAAACCAAAAACGGGTTGTGCGTTTATTTGTAAATTTCTCTCCGCCATCGTTGTTGATGTTACGTGACGTTTTTGCCGCGTAAGTGCCACGACGGAACTCATATTCGATAATTCACGAATTTGTATATTTATTATGACGGACTATGTTCAATTATAATGAAAATAAAAAAACAATCCAAACTTTCCTTGTTTGAAAGGACCTAAATAAAGTCTTACTTTATTCGTTATTATGCGAGATGAGATTGTTGCATAACTAATAAGTATTAAGGAAAACCTTTGATAGGATGTTGTCTCAGTTATGAGAAGAAATTTTCTTATAAGACAATATTACCACAAATCAGCTTCTCTTTAACATATACAATGTAATCCGCGTAGTATCAACAGATTCTATATACCCGTTTGAACACATTCGCACTAGAGCAACTGACGAAAATGTATCGCAATTCTATATTGTTATGCTTCGTAGTGTTTGTGGGAGCCTTTGGGGAAAAGAGTTTTACACTCGTTTTAGATACGACGATCTCCATGAGACAAGAAATAGAAATTTTGAAGTCAAACATACACACGGTACTGAACAGTAATTTATCGGACATAAAAAATTACATTTTAGTGCCTTTCGACGATCCGGGTAAGTCAGATAAATTTAAATATTGTCACACAAGAGACTGTTGATTAAATATTACGACGTATATAACATTAAAAAGTTAAATTTCATTATTTATGTAGCAGTAAAATAAATAATTTGTCAAGAAATGCTATATATATATACTTATACATAATACTATATGTTTATATATATATAATTAATAAAATTCTTCTGTACGTGTGTATGTCACCGAACTCCTCCTAAACAGCTGAACCAATTTTAATGAATTTTTTTGTTTCTTCAAGTCGATTCGAGAATGGTTTAAATTCACAATTCGGTCCACCACATTTTTTTTTATTTCTAAGTCTTTTTTTAATTTTCTTTCTGTCTGTCGGGTTCGCTAGTACTATATAATACTGTATATATTCACACACATTTCATCTTTTTATTTGATTATTAAAAAGTTGCCAATTCCAATTAGTTTTATATTATTAAATCTGAGTCGGTTATTGGTAAATAATAAAAAAAAAATGATCCAAGACAAAAAACAAACGCAAGAATTATTGAGAGATTTTTTTTGCCACATGACATTATAATAAAGGATTGTCCTGTGTTGTAAGGACCAAACATAAATTGCACGGGAACAAATACCCAGATCCGAAACAATTATCTGTGGGTCATACAAATAGTTGCCCCGTGTGGGAATCGAACCCACGATTCCCTGCACCGAAGCCAATAGATCGGCAACTGCGCCACATAAGCGTGCTAGAAAATTTTGTTTCCACATTGAATTCATGTATCATTTTTAGGATTTGGACCACCTTTAATTTTGCAAACGGCAGACAGACTTATGGAACTGATGAATATAATAGAGGTCAGCGGGGGAAACGATTGCCCCGAGAATTCAATACCAGCTATCGAGCAAGCGATATCTGTCAGCAAACCGAATTCTTTTATATTCGTGTTCACCAACGGCTTTGCCAAAGACAGTAGTAAATTGAGTTCAATACGACAACTATGCCAAAGTAAAAACACTCAGGTGACCGCCAGTTCAATATACAATAATGTTATTTTCTTAATAATGTATTTATTCGTGCGTTTCGATTAGGATCGAACCATTTTGTAGTTCTTTCTTCTTTTTTTTTTTTAAACATTGCCCTTACTTTAGGACAACATTATCCTGGGTTGTAAATACGTTTTACAAACATAAATTTCAAGAAGGACAAACACCCAGATGCGAAACAACTATCTGTGGGTCACACAAATAATTGTCCCGTGTGGGAATCGAACCCACGACCCCCGACGCAAAAGCCAATACCTTGGCAACTGCGCCACGGAGTCATCAGACTTACGTCGAAATTTACAAAGACGACGTCATAATGACATTTTCAATGTAATTTTAAGAGGGGCCGCGAAACGGTATTTCCTGTTAAACGAATGGGTGAGACCCGTCCGGGTAAGTTCTAGGAACTCACAGAAGACCGGCGTGAAGTGGAAGTGTTATACTTCTGCGTTTCGTCTGGTGAGTGAGGTAGTTGAGGCCCGCTTTATTAGAAATTGGCAACATATTTGCAACCCCACGAGTGTTGCATATGTCAATGGGAGGTGGTAATTACCTTACTGAAGATCAGGAAATTCCTGCTCGCTTGTAAACTTCTCACATAAAAAAATAAAGTAAAGGAAATTAGTTCTACTTTTCTCAATTAATCAGAGAGCTAGGACCCCCCCTGGCATATATTAATAAAGGCAACCTATGGTTTTAATATAAATTAATACAGAAAGAATAATGTTTTATAGGTTATAATATTTTTGAGCGCGAAATGCGTACCGGTTGGTAGGGATGCAATTGGCAGCATTGACACTTACTTTGATGTAGCCAAAGCCTGTTCCGGCTCCGTTTTACAATTTGAATTAGGCAACTTTCGTCAGGTGAGTTCTGATATTGGAGATTTATCTTAAAAATAACACAACATTATCATTTCTTTCATCCTTTTACATTATTAGTAAATCATGTTTTTTCTTTGTATTTTCGTTTACATCTAACATAATATCTTCATCTTATCCTTTAAACGAGCAAATCTTGTATACATATATATATATATATATATATATAAAATCAGAATCTCGGAAACGGCTCCAGCGATTTTCATGAAATTTAGTATGTGCGTAGTTTCGGGGGCGAAAAATAGATCTAGCTAGGTTTCATTTTTAGAAAATGCCCTTTTATCCCTGTTTTCGCGGAATGAAAAAATATCATTCAAATATGACGGTAAATTTCGCCGCAAGAGAAAATGTCATAATAGCTCGGTCGGTAATCGGGCGGCCCCAAAACAGACGGCCGTGGTTCGCGTCACGATCATTTACACATTTATTTTTTTACTTTTTTTTCGATTCCAGATCATTACTTTCTTTATTTTAAATTTTTTGTTATTTTGTCCCTTTTTTTTAAAGTTGTTTCTTTTGTGAAAAACATCAGTTCATATTTTCTTATTATTACGTCGGTAAGATCGAAAAATATTATGCATATTTCATTACTCAGTAATTTGTATCTAAATGTAATTTCCAAAATACACGATTTACCAAAAAAAAAAAACAAACCGAGCAAAGCTCGGTCCTCCCGGTACTATACATAAAATGGTGCTGTTAAAAACAACGTCTAACCAGTAAGATGAGATGACAGTATTAACACAATCGCTGTGTCTTTTTTTCATTTGTTTTATTGAATCATTGTTTCACTCAAGGATTTGTGGTCCACTGGGGTTTAAAATTTGACTATTTTGAACCCACCTTAAAAGTCTCCTGTCCTCTGAAAAACGTTTTTCAAAGGACAACAGGCTTTTAAGGCGGACCAAACTTCGCTCCTCATGGTTGCCACTATACAGCGGTTCTCAGGAGAGATAAGAGGTGTCAAAATTTAAAATAAATTGACGAATCTTTGTCTTTTCCTCCAGGTAATGTTATGTATTATTGGTGGTGTTGACAGTGTGCGTTTGAATTTGATTTTAATTTGTCATGTTTTATTTATCTAATTTATTGTTTACATGCGTTTTTCTTACTTCCATTTATATAAATATGTAATAATAATAATTAATATTCTTAAACTCTTTGTTATGTAATTTTATTTAAAATAAAATAAATATGAAATATCGATTATAATAGTTATTATTATTGCGTTTCAGGTGTTTAAAATCATGAGAGAGTTAATTAAAACCGACTGGACCGAAGTAACTGCTCATAGGGAATTCATAGGAACCAAACTTTTTACAGTAAGTTGTTGTTTATTGTGTAATACTTTAAGCTAGAAAGCTTAAAATCGATATTTCACTTTAAAATAATTAAATAAAATTAAAAACATAGCATTACCTATGCTATGTTGTTAATAATATTTATATAGATAAAATAAAATTTCCTCAATTTGTAATAAAAATTTCAATGGGCGGCGGTTATCGCTTAGCATCACGTGAACCGCAAGCTCGTTTGCCACCTTCTCACATAAAAAAGAGTGGTCTCGTGTTTGGTACATGACCGTGAAAATATTGATTTGATTGAATGACTTCGTAGCGCAGCTGCTAAGCCATTGGCTTCGGCGCCGGAGTTTGTAAAATCTCGCCAAAATCGATCCAGCCGTTTTAGAGATTAGCCGGAACAAACAGACACACAGACAAAACTTGTAAATAATGTTATTTTAGTATATCCATATGCACCATATACATCCATATGCATTTAGTAAAAAGCGGTTATTATTATTTGGGGATATTTATTTGTTTTCTCGTCTGGTTGGGTTTATAGATAAAAAATAAACATATAAATATGTATTGCATATATAAAATAAATATTATGAATAAAAATAAACATATAGATATAAATATTAAATATAATACATAAATAAATAGGACCCAACCAGACGGAAGCCCTCGGCAGGGGAGACCAAACGGCCGAGGGTTAGGGTGAGAGGGAGAGAAACCGGCGGACGATGCGGGCGGTATCGAGTGGCACCGCCTTCTGCATCTGAGCTTTAAGCGTTCCGTCTCGGAGTCCCAGTCGCCTCAGATGTTCGGAAAGGCAGACTGGGATTAACTCATTCGCAGACATGACTATCGGGATAATTTCGGCCGGCACACCACCCCACATGTCGGTCACCTCGTGAGCCAGGTCCAGATACTTTGTCTTCTTATCTGTTTCGGCTTTCACGAGGTTCTCATCATATGGAATGGTAATGTCGACCAAAAATACCCGCGACTGTGCCCGGTCCATCACCACGATGTCAGGTTTATTCGCGACAATCGTCCTGTCCGTGATGATGGGCCGGTCCCAATAGAGCCTGGCGCGGTCATTTTCGAGCATGGCCTCCGGAGAGTACTTGTAGTACGGCAGTTTCCGATCCGCGAGGCCGTATTTCAGAGCGAGCTCCTGGTGTAGGATTCTGGCTAATAGGTTATGTCTATGCAGATACTCAGAGTTAGAAAGCATGGAACAACCGGAAATAACATGCCGAAGTGACTCCCCGGGATGGCGACAAGCTCGACAGATGTCGACGGTGCCATCCCTTAGTATGTATTTCCGTTAGTTGTTCGTCTTAATAACCTGATCCTGTATCGCACAGACAAAACCTTCGGTTTCCCCAAAGAGCAGCAGTAGAAAGTAGCCAGTTATTATTATTATTATATACTTTATTGTACACCACAAAGAATTTGATACAATTAGTATAAAATGAGTCTTAAAAGCAAGGTACAATAAGGCGGTCTTATCGCTAAAAAGCGATCTCTTCCAGACAACCTTAGGACGAGGAAAAATAAACTAATGAATAGTGGGAGGTGGTGTGCTCAATAAACTTGTTTAATACCCATATAGACTTAAATATAATAAAATAAAATAAAAAATTATAATAAACATACATAAATAGATATATAATATATATAAACAACATAAATAAATACACGAGTGAAGAATTAAATACGCATATTGCCATTAAAAACTATGGATTACAAAGCGATAGATAATGTTGTTTTACTTCATTTTTAAACTTGTCTAGCGTCTTCGAACGGCGTATTTGCTGACGAAGTTCATTCCACAAGCAGATGGCCTTAACTGTAAAGGAGTTCTTATAATATTTAGTTTTGTACGCATGTGGTGCAAGAATTAGATCTTCAGCGGATCGCAGAACTCGTTCTGGATATGGTTATGGCCAAGAAACTTAAAGTGTTCCTTTAAATAACTTGGAGTCCTAGTGTTAAATAATACACAGTACAGAAGAGAGACAGTGTGTAGATTCCGGCGAAAACGAATGGGTAACCACTTGAACTTTAAACGAAATTCGGAAACGTGATCATATTTGCGAAAACCAAATATGAATCTAATAAATTTTGAATACGCTCAAGTTTATGTGATATTATAAACAGACACTCCAATTTTATTTATCTGTATGTATAGAAGATCACAGCAATATCAATGGTATGGCTTGCATTTATGTACGGTTAACAAAGTTAATTCGTTTTCTAGTTCACAGTTGACAAATCTACAAAGGATTTTATGATAGCGGTGTCTGGGGATTATCCGACGGTAAAAATTACGGACGTCAGTGGCCAAAGTGTTCCTATCGAAAATATCGCAATAACTCGCGATTCTCAAGTAAGTAATATGTATATAGGATAGTATAGATAGATATGTATTTAGGAATCTTTCTGGTTCATATATAAAAACAAATTAGTCCATCCGAACAAACTTAGAAAAACGTTAACCTGTTACAATTACAACCTAAAAATTGGATTGTTCCATGTTGAGATACTCTAAGAGCCCATAACAGTAAAATTATAAGTACATGGGACATCTGATTTTCATTAAGGATTAAATAAACTAAATATAACACATTATAACAACGTGCAAATTAAAACTTACATAGTACTGAAGTGATTTTCATTTAAATCAATTGTCCATTTTTATCCCGTTTCCCCTTCATTAATTACTATTAGTATTTAATTTTTTTTCCAAAAGGTCATTCGGCTTCATAAACCAGCTTTTGGGGACTACAAAGCGAATATTCTGTGCCAAGGGCCAACTATGACAACATTTTATAGAAGAAGGGAACTACAGTTTCAGTATGGGTTTTCACCAAAGAGACCAAAAAGTATGAGGGAGACAAGCGCCTTGCCTATACCTGGTAATAGTTCTTTTTTATTTGGCATTCTTTGTATATGTTTCAAACGTTAACTCTATAACATTATGCAGATAATTTGCCTTACACACAATTAAACTGAACAATAGCCATCATCAATGAAGCTCCGTGACTTAACTTTTTTGCTTAACTTTTAAACTTAATATTCTTTGGAAGAAAATTTATTGACGCAGTTCGCGGGAGATTCTGGTAGAAATCGTCACGTAAAAATACAGCGTTATACCTCATTTCTCTTTTACTCTCAACAATTCATTCTCTCCATCTCTCTTTGTTAACAACTTTATTTGGCATGTTTGGTGTGACTAGGTACGTTTTACGTAGTAATATCCTTATAACTTCTAATTTACTGTTTTCCTGCTAAATACTTTTCAACTTCCTTGTATTACCGCGGTTTAACGTCAATTTACATGAAATCAGAGTTAAATGAAACCGCATGAAGTACTCATAAGTACCTACTAAAAATATAAAACGTCTGAAAAAGTATTCGCTTTTTTTAATTACAGCTCACAAAATTAGACTCTCTTAGGGTTTTCAAGTGTTCATGTAGATGTTAAATGAATCCAATAACCCATTAACCCTAGTACCCCTCTAAAAAATGAAGCGCCAAAATAAATTTTGACTTCTGGCGTCACTCCCGGAGTGCAACCAACAAATTTTTTATTAGCATGTATAGTTTTGGCTTTTAACCTATTAACCACTCATAGAAAAAAAATACAAAAACTACCAAATCTATGAGTATTTTTTTGCCTTTCATAGAATTTAATATTTGTTATAAATTCCGTGACTCAAGTATCAAGTACTCGAGCCTGTTACTATTATTAATGGAAGTCTTAGAGCATAATATTATTTCATAATTTGCCCTCCGAACGCAACATACGGATACAAAATTATCTTGCGTCATATTATGAAAATTGCTCACGCACTAAGACTATTATTTAATATAAAGCGAGCGACAGATGAATAAAATTTGTTGTGATGATTTTCTTATGGCTTTAAATTTAACCTAGAACAATCTGATTGTTATTCATTGACATATTTATTGCAGGTGCCACAAGTTTCATTTGCATTTCAATAGCCGAAATCACTATAGAGTTGAATTCCGTACACGTAAGTTTTGACGGAAAAAACACAAAAGCCATTAACGTTGAGATCATCGATGATAGGAAAGGTCTGTACGCCGCGCAGGAATTCTTCGAGCCTGGGAAATCATTTAAGATAACGGTAAGAGCTGAAAGTTATCCGTGACTTGTGTAAATGTCATGTCATGTAATAAAAGTCATAAGAGTAATTATCCGTCAAATCAATGTAACAAATATTTTGCTTTAACATAATTAATTTTGCATAGAATTCGATTATTACCTGGAATAGGACATATGATAATATTTTTGAGATATTTTAGTCTTCACAAGTAACAATGTATTATAATTAACTAAGTATTATAATTTGTTTCATATTACTTTTATCCGGACGGTAATTAACGTTACTGAACTGAAATTACACGTGCGTCATGCATTAAAGTGGATCGACTTCTATAATTAGAATTCAAACATATAGGTATATATTTTTGTTTTAGATTTATGGCCGTGACTCATCATTTTATCAAGTTATAAAAGGAACGACTGGTACTTTAAGGCCACAAAAAGAAGGTATATTGATAAGTATATTTTTCTGTTTCAAATGTACCATTGTCTATTTAAATTTACGCTGACCGACCCTGCTTGTGTGCTATCTTTTCGTAAGATGAATATTTTATTAAGGTAGTGTATTTACTACCTAAATAAATATTCATGAACTAGTTATCTTATCCTTTAAACGAGCAATTCTTGTATATATACATATATATATATATATATATATATATATATATATATATATATATATATATATATATATATATATATATATAATCGGAATCTCGGAAACGGCTCCAGCGATTTTCATGAATTTTAGTATATGCGTAGATTCGGGGGCGAAAAATTTAATTACTCAGTAATTTGTATCTAAATATAATTTCCAAAATACACGATTTACCAAAAAAAAACAAACCTCCTCCGGGTACTAATAATTATTGCAGTAACGAAACTGTTATCCTTCCAGTGCTGGCACCTATGCGAATGAAACCAAAAATACTAATGATCGAACCGGAAGTAGCATTAGTGGAATACAACAGTAACTTCACCGTGGCCTGCAAAGTTTCTGGATATCCAAAACCAACTATCACTTGGCAAGACCAGGAAGGGACAACTTTGCAGTCCGAGGTATCGATTAACAAAATATTTAAAAAAATAAGAAATAAAGACCTCGATAAGCCAGTACCATTTTTTTATTGTAGAACTAACTGTGCCCGCGACTTCGTCCGCGTGGAAGTTTAATTAAATAAGAAAAAAATCTAAAATTAAAGTAGCCTAAGTTACTCCTTATTACATCAGCTATTAGCCAGTGAAAGTCCCATCCAAATCGGTCCAGCCGTTACAGTGATTAGCCGGAAAAAACAGACAGACGGACAGACAAAAATTGTAAAAAATGTTATTTTGGTATATGTACTGTGTACGGATGTACCATACGTATTTAGTAAAAAGCTGTTACTTTAATATTACAAACAGACACTCCAATTTTATTTATCTGTATAAATTTGTGTCATAGCCGTGATAGCTCAGTGTTCGGGCGCTCGCCTTTAATTCAATATACTGGAGCAACCTGAGTTCGATCCCCAGTGCCGGCACCAAAGAAGTTTTTAACTTTAAGTGTTAAATAAATAAGCTGACTTATCACGTGCTCCGCGGTGAAGGAAAACATCGTGAGGAAACCTGCTATTTTAGAAATAATAACAAAAAAATATTTCGAAGATATGTGAAGTCCGCCAATCCGAAGTGGGGCCGCGTGGTGGACTATGCCCTGATACCCTCTGTATAGAGGAGGCCTTTGCCCAGCAGTGGGATATGTATAGGCTGTTACTTTACTTTACTTTACTTTTTTAGATTTGTGTAACAAGCAGGCGTGTAACTTTATACTAAGTAATTAACGCCGCCCAAAGAAATCTGTAAAACACAAAAGGATATAGTACTGTTACCTCGTCACCCTTTTATAAAAGAACCGGCCAAAGGCGAGTCTTACTCGCGCACGAAGGGTTCCGTACCATTATTTGTAATAAGAGCAAAAACATCTTGTACATTGTATGGGAGCGCCACTTAAATATTTGTTGTTATAGTGGCAACAGAAATACATCGTCTGTGAATTCGGTTCATTAGATACAGCCTGGTGACAGGCGAGAAGACAGACAAACAGACAGACAGCGGAGTCTTAGTAATAGTATAGTTTTACCCTTTAGGTAGGGCATCCGAAAAATCTCATTCCAGACGAAATAAAGTTTCCAATGCTTCCACTCTATTTTGGTCTCCTGTGAGTCCTTGATTCCTTACTTCCTCCAATAACGAGATGGTCCAACCATGCAGAATAAGTGATTACTCTTTTGTTGTTCTAGTTAGAAGCTAAAAGAAATCGATGTGTTAATTGCAGGATGCTCTACTAGAAACCCCCTACGTGTTTATTAGTTATGCCTACATTGAACGCGTGAGTAAAAATAGCACAATATATTGCAAGTGTGAATATCGGGATGACGAGGACTCTCTGACAATGGACCTCTTCGTGAACAGGACTTTCAACTTTGATGTCATTAAACATCCTGAGAGTGAGGCCATATCTTATATATTAACACATTTTTATTTATTTGTTAAGTTATATATATGGCGTGTGTAAATAAAGTATATTGTTACCTAAACAATTTACTGACGAATTTCTTCTATAATTACAAACGTAATGTTGACTATGAATATACCCTGGTCGCCTCTTATGACACCCACGGGATGGGATTCCACCTCGACTTATTCTTAGGGTGGTGCCAAATAATCACACAAAGTATAGTTATGTGCGTGATACTGACTTTACAGTTGAAATATAATTCTAAATTTATTTATAGACTCGACCTTTGAATATGGGGCAGAAGGGCAGCTGTACTGTGAAGTCGATGCATATCCAGAAGCTTCTATTAAATGGTACCACAATGACACACTTGTTGACGATTCCGATTACCTCGAGGTTCTCCCAGATGAAAATAAAATTGTAATCAAAAACATGACCTTAGACACTACCGGTGACTACAGATGCGAAATTAGTAATTCTGTTGAGGAAAAAACTTTTACCGCTATTGTGGACATTGATATAGGTAAGAAGTTGGAAAATAATTTCTACATTGTACTTGTATGACGGAAAAGTAGCAAATAAATAAATCCAGTTCTTGATAATGATATAAATTTTAAAATATAGCAAATTTATCCTCATAAAAAATTTGTACTTGTATGTTAAAGATAAAATGTAATCTTTTAAACTATATCTCTTGAAAACAAAATATATGGACTTTTTAATTTATATACAATTTCAGATCCTCCGGAAGTATTTTTGAACTATTCAGAGCTTGTCTTAAAACCCGGTGATTGGGTAAATATCGAATGCATGTAAGTATTAATTTAGACGTTATTATAATTCTTCCCTAACAAACTTAATAGTCAAATAAAACATAACAAGATTAAAATTTATTCATTTGCAAAACGCAATGTATAAAGAACCAGAAGCCGCATCCACTATAATTTTATGCTACGTGTTGTGTCCAAAAATAAAACAACTAACAACAAACGCTGCTCTTCCCCAACCGTGCATTGTTGCTAAACCACGTAAGGTTTACCTACTCCATAAACGGGTAAATAGTGTCACCTAGCAACATTGGAGGTAAAACAATTTAGAAAATGATGAAGGTAAGAAAATGAAAATTGTCGGATTCTATACAGCTATCTTATGTATGTACCTGAAAATTTCAATTAAATGAAATAAGCATAAGGTGTATAAATAAAACGCGTACAGGCTAATGCATTTAATTTGAATAACTTTTTTTTTTAATCGGTTAAGAATTAATTTTAGATTCAAAACTATTTTCATTTAATACTACACAATTAGTACATGGTTATATACTGAATCGTAAATTGGGGTAAACAGACAGCACCTATAATTAAATAAGATGATCATATTTGAATCCGCTACATAATACGTAAATAATACCTATTGCGGATAGCAGATAACTAATTTATACAAGATAAATATATAATATATTATAATTGATACAAGACAGGATAATTAATTTAAATTTGGCACCCCACATTACCAAGGTATGATGTTCATAGAGATAAAAAAAATAGAGTAGCCAAGAATTAGTAGTTTTCGATAACTCAGTATAACGCTCGTTCACCGCTTCTGAATCTTTCCGTATTCCGATATGCAAAGTTAAGTCTAAAATACTTGTAAATAGGACTGCGCTCGGAACATTAACCATATGGCGTGTGAGGATGACATTTTCACTTCTCCTTTCTGAATCTTTAAATGAGAAAAAAATTTGAAAGCATAACTTGAAATTTACCCGTGGGTTACTTTATTCATATTTTAGTGAATATTTTTTAACTGTTTAATATTGGACATTTTTCCTCATGTGGATCAGAGTGACTAAGGGTAAACCGGTGCCCGTTGCCAGCTGGAAATTCATGACGGAGAATGGTTTCGAGGAGATACCAGATGGCGTGAGCGCCGAAGATAGATTTCTAAAAATTCCCTCGATCAAAACTGAGCATATGGGCGTCTACAAATGTGAAGCGAGCAATGTGGCAGGTTCTGACTCAAAGGATATTGAAATAAAGGTTGAATGTAAGTTCAATGCATTCTTACAAAAGAAAGGAAAACCTATATAAAATCAATGTATGCTTAGATTAGAACAGTAGTGAAAATGCACTTCTTTAAAATTCTCCTTTTTACATTAGCACCATCTAAAATTTACACGTAGCCTCGAGTTAATTAGCCATTCCATCATAATAAGGTAAAACACACAACGACTTTCGTATTTATGATAGTTGTGCTTTTCAATCAGATGCTCCCAAAATCAAAATTTACGATGAGTTAAAAGAAGTGAAGCAGAGTGAGCAAGTGCAACTGTATTGCGAAGTTGACGCTATACCAAAAGCTCGAGTCAGATGGGTGATGACGCAAGGTGATGTCATAGTGCCTTTAAGTAATCGACACAAAACCGACGAGTGGAACACACACAGGTAACAACTTCTTAACATCCCATTCGTCAAAATTACAGGACGTATTTGTGTGCGCGTCAGGTATTAATATGACTTGAGTGCAGGTGAACCGTGTCTACGATATACAATTCGAAGAATGTCTGAATAAATGAATGAATGTCGGATGATGACTTAGTAAGTCAAACGCTTGCTCAGTAAATGTTTAAGATTTACTTTCGCTTGGTAAAGCTACCTTGGAATAGTTGTTCTCGCGAGTTGGTTCGATATATCAGCTAACAGTAAAGCAGATTTGGGCCCAGTGATGCGATACGTTTTCTGCGGCGATCCATAGTTTCAGTTGCAGTTACATTATTAATTGAAATTTTGATTAATTTTAGCAAACAGAAAAAACCATAACTGATTATCTGAAAATTTCAGGTTTATCGCTCTATCAAGTGACTCCGGCAACTACCACTGTATCGCGGAAAATACCGTAGGGAAAGCTGAAAGGACCATCATATTGAATGTTTTGGGTGTGTATCGGCTGTAAAATTTTAAATTCGACTAATAATTTTTAAAGAAAATTTTGGTTTGATGAAGATTTGACAAGAATCCGGAAATACGGTCCATTTAGCATTTATTTACCTAAAGATAAAAAAATATCCTACTAGAGGTCGCCCAGTGGTCGAAACTGGATCATTTACGTGGTAGTGTGTGTAATGTTTTTTTTAAATTTGGATTTAATATATTTTTTATACATAATTAAAAAAAACAATATTAACATTGTGCACCCCTTCTCTATATACACTACAAATGTGGGAAATTTTATACTTTTACGATTACTTTTAAATTTTTATACGTCCGTGCAATTTTCGTAAAAAAGGGTACAAAGTTTTTACTTCACGTATTTTTTACACGAGAAATTCTTGTTTAAATATATTATATATCATCGGAATCTCCGGCTCCAGCGATTTTCGTGAAATTTAGTATGTGCGTAGATTCGGGGACGAAAAATCGTTCTAGCTAGGTTTCATTTTTAGAAAATGTCTTTTTACCCTGTTTTCAGGGAACGAAAAATATCATTCGAAAATGACGGTAAATTTCGCCAAAAAAAAATTCTATAATAGCTCGTTCGGTTATCGGGCGGCCCCGAAACAGAAGGCCGCAGTTCGTGTCACGATCATTTACACACTTATTTTTTTTACTTTTTTTTCTATACCAGATCATTTCTTTCTTTATTTTTTTAATTTACAAAATAGACGATTTACCAAAAAAAAAAACAGGTTCCAGCTACTATTATATAGATAGATTAAGGCACAGACCTAATGCAATAAATAACATTTCAGTGGAGCCATACATCGAACCTCCTCCGGTGAAAATGATGACACTTAGGACAGGTGATACAGTAACATTGCCTTGCATTATTAATTACGGCAACCCCATCCCTTCGACGAAATGGGAATTCATAGCTTCAAACTCGTCCGTCACGACGATATCAAGGTAGGTATTTGTAAATTAAACAAAGTTGGTATTTAAAAGTTAAATTTACGATTGACTTGTACAATTTTAAATCATATACTAGGGTAGTAATAAGACAACTATGGATTTATTTACCATGATGGCCTTGTGTTTTGGAATATTTTGCGATAAATTTATTTTCTTGGTTATTCAACAATCTTATTAAATGTCCGTAAGGTCATATACTGATACATCTTTAAGGTGCGTATTTAAGTTCCCTTTTTGTTTCAGGGGAAAATCTACATCGAATCTAATTTTAAAAAATTTATCGAGAAGACATGAAGGGTCATATATATGTGTTGCTGAAAATACAGCTGGTTCAGATAGTATAAACATCATTGTAAAAGTTATATGAGAACTCTAATGAAAAATAAATATAATTATTTAAATGTTTCTTCTGTAAATATTTTTCCTTATACGGAATGATGACTAGAAAATATTTGTTTTGTAACTCAATGGTCTATATTTATTCACTACTAGCTTTTCGCCAGCGGCCCCGCCCGCGTGTACTATATTTACCCGCAGCTTTCCCAAGTTCTTGGCCTATTTCCTGTTTAGCAGATCTAGGGGTGTATTGATCCTAGGAAAGTTGGATTCAAGATCATGCCAAGAGTACAAAGAAAATTGTATACATCATGCTTTCGCAAAGTTCCAGTCAATCTACCCAATGCTGGTGGGTCAAGAAAGACCCACCACGCAAGGGCGGAAATACCTAAAACTCTAAATTATCAATCATCATTTAACATACTATATATAGTTAACTAGTTTCATCCAAAATACATAGTTAACTGTTGCTATTAATAGCATTTTATTACACAAATCTTCAATGTCGTTCTTTACGTTGATATACCTTTTTTTAGAAATTTTAATTGTTTATAGTGCTAATCTTTGCACTTAAGATTGAACATTAAAATATGTAGAAAAAGTGCGAAAAGATTAATCAAAATAAAAAATCTTTTCGCACTTTTTCTACATATTTTAATAACTTTTTTTTTATTTTTGATAAGATTTAAATAAAACTAACACTGAATGTTAAGTGAATCTTACGACCATACATTAGTGAAAATTACACCCAAATCGGTTAAGCTGTTTCTAAGATTAGCACGCACAAACGCACAGACAAAATTTTAAAAAATCATCATAATATTTTTTCTCAAATATCTTCCATGTACAGACAACTAGTATCAGTTACATTTTTATTATAGTATAAATAGAAGAAAACAGAAGATTATCAAAGGAAATACATGACACTTAACATTTTTTCATTTGTCGATAAAGTTGTTTGTACAGTGGAGTGTTTTTTTTTTGGAGATACTTATTACTGACTATTGATACTATTATATACTGAAAATCTTAATATACTTTATCTGTACTAAATTAAACTATGTTTACGGATTTATCGCATTTATTTTTAGCCTGACACCCTTAATGTTCATGAAATTATAATTTTACTTACGTTATAGTATAAAAGCTGATTTTTATATATAATACTTGAGTCATAAGTAAATGATGTTTCCTCAAAAGACAGACATTTTTCATAGCCAAAGCCAGGGTAACCCACACTCCATAATGGTCCATCGTTCTTACCTCTGTTGGGAGCATGCCCTGACAAACTTTCAGTATTTATAAAATAACGAAGGTCTAGGGTTCACGGGCTATTAGACTAATTATTTATACCATTCTATCCATTTTATATTGTTCAACATGTTTGAGAAAGTCATGATGAACGCAACGTTTGAATGTGTAATATCACTATGTTTGGCATACGTTATTAAGCCATACTGGTAGTTTATAATATCATTGCTTACAATCATGGCGTTATCGAGATTTAGCGGATATTTAGTTTTTATTTTTTACTTTTTGACGTCTTTTTAATGGCAGCACTGCTCCACTTATTTATTAGTAGGGATGCTGAAAGTCGAAAAAAATATCGATATATCGATATGCATAAAACATCAATATTGGCCTCGATATATCGAAAAAAAATATCGATATATCGGTAAAATTTTCAGCTTTAAAAAAATAATATATTTAGTTCAGTCTGATTCAATAATAAATAATAGTAATTTTTATATCAAATTCACATTATTTAAATCAATGAGAAATTCTAGGTATTTTATTTATCAAGACCTTCATTGGAAAGAAACCAACAGCTTATTTAATAAGATAAATCAGTTTCTTCAGCCCTGGATCGAATCTAAAAATAATTAATTAAAAAACATGTAACTTTGTAAAAAAAAACATAAAGAATTGTTTAAAACGATTGTTTATAATGGGTCAAGAAACCCGCAGTGGCTTGTTCTAAAAGACAAGCCTAGATCAACAGAATTTAGTAATAGTTATTTGATTGACATGAAAATGCTGAACGACACTTTAAAGATATTACTTATGTGGTTAAATGAGAAATATTTTTTTTATGAAAACTCGATATTATATTATGTGACATTTAATTATTGAGAATTTGATTATAATTAAATTGTTAACTTTATTTACATATTAAATTAAAGTAACTTTACTTGATATCATTAATATTTTGTATGCTATTTATAAATTAACATAATATGTATTAAATGAAACTAATAATATGTAGTTCAATATTAATGATTTTTAACACCTCTATACCATGTTGTACCAAAGATATGGTACCTAAGTACGAAGCATGAAATTGCAGTATAAATACCATAATTATAGTACAAAATGCAACTCCGCATCCGTGACAATACTAGTAAACGACAGTTTTCTTCGTTCATTTTTATCTTTTACGGCTTTGAATCAGTTTGACTAAAAATATCGTTTTTGATACGATTTCGATATTCAATTTTTTTATCGATATATTGGATCAAAATATTATATCCACCAAAAATATCGATATATTTTAAGAAAATATCGATAGCTCGATATTTTTTCAGCATCCCTATTTATTAGGTTATAAAAACGAACGTCATAAAGTGATGGTGTTTATTTTGTAAGAAGAAATCATTAATATTTATATAAATCAGAAAATGCATGTGAAACATGACTTGTAAATTGCCCCCGTATATCCTTCAAGAACTTCCCAATATCACCGAAATTATTAATTATCCTATAAGAAATGTGCAGCGTATAAAGGTAGGTAACTTGGCATCTATTCAAATTTATGTTATTCCTGAAATATTAGAAAATCCATTTTTATTAGAGTACGGTTTTTGATTTTATGTAATAACTTCAAATGCCTTTGATAATTATTGTCAGAATGTTTGCTTTATTGAATTCAGTTAAATAGGCTGAAGTTGTTTTTTCAGTGACATGTAAAATACAAGGTATCTAGTAATTATAAAAATGTTTGACATCAGTAAATGAAGAAGAGATCATTATATACTTTTGAATATCAATTTGTCTAATTGAGTGCACTATAAAATATTTGATACCATTTGATATGGATGAGAAAGTTACATGAAAAAAGAAATGACAAGTTTTTTTTTTCCAGTTTACATGCTTTGCTTTGTCTAAATCATTAATAGCATTTGGGGCCACAAGTGGTGGCATCTATGTCTACAATAGAGATCCCTGTGAATTTGTGCAACTTATACCTAGCAAGGTATGTCAATATTTGTACTTATCATTATTATCTAGATCAGTACATTATTATTTTAATATTTTGCTGTAACAACTATGCACAGAAACTGGCATTTGGGGTCTGCTGCAATACATTGTTATTTATCATCATTTGTTATTAATTACATTTTTACACAAGCTTATTGGTTTGGATTGGAGAAAAGGGACTAACGAAATATAATTGTGTAACACCCGGTTTCTGAGACACTGATCATCATAGATGTCAACTAATCAGCTGTCAAATGGATTTTCAAATGTCATTTGAGTTGCAAAAAGGATGGTTAAACTCTTTGAATTGATCATTCTGATCATTCTGGTAAATTCAGAGAGTTTAACCAAAAAAGTCAATGTAGTGTTTTTATAACAAAAAATTCCATGTGAACAGCAATAAAGATGATTTAAATATTAGCGACACCTTGTGTGATTTCATATGAATTTCTAATACACATGTACTTATAAATGACTGCTCTATCCATTTTTTTTAATTGTTATTTTGAAATGAACAATTGTAAAAATGAACTAAAAAACCCATATATCATCGTCGTCTTCCTTCTACCTACCTTTATCCCACCTAGGTCTGGATCTGGGTATTTTTTATGTGAAGACCCTTCACATAAAAAACACCCAGATCCAGAACAATTATCTGTGTATTCTCACAAATACTTGTTACATGTGGATGAAATGAAAACCACTAGTCCTGACGCAATAGCCTAGTAACGGTGCCACCTTCTGAAACCTATACATATACAGTGTGTCTTTACAATCGCGATAATAAATGAACACACATATAGATGATAACTTTTTAAAATTGTATTGAACATTTACTTTCTTTAAACATCAATATTTTATTAAGAGTTATTAAATTTTCCAAAACAAAGAATTTTAGAACACCCTTACGTATAAACTGTAACGTAAAGTTCATTTGTAAAGGTCACAAAGAATATGTATGGGTTGAATGAATTTAAAAGAGACAAAACATACTGTTAGAAGGAGAGGCTTCTAATGTGACGTTTTTAAAGTCTCTGATTGTATGAATCAGTCAGTTGTAGTTGTATAGGATGTTACAAATTTTGTTTCTTTTTTACTTAATTAGTTTTACTTAATTATTTTTTTTTAATTATGGTTTTTTTTAATGTTAATATTTTTTATGATTATTGACAAGTAGCGTTAGACGTGTCTTCATTTATTGTCGCGGTGGTAACGACAGACATTGGTGCGAGACATTGGCTCTAAAATTTTCGTTTTTACAATAATAGGGATAAATTTAAATAAGTTTGAAACAAAGTCTTGTATGTAATTATGTATTCTCTTACATGAAAATTTCAGGATGGTCCAATAACACGTCTAGTAATTTCAACTGATGAAAAGCACATTGGGTTTGCAAATGGAAAAGGAAGCATCATGGTCACAGAGTGTGATCAAGCCCTCCGGAGTGGTTATTCACTGATAACTTCAAAGGAGCACCATGGAAATGAAATTACGTCTATGGTTTGGAGTGGGAACATGCTCTTTTGTGGTGATGATGTTGGAAGAGTATCAGTATTGCAGCTGCAGAGTTTTATTGTAAGTTATAATGATAAAATAATGATAAAAATTAAAGTTATATGATGGTACAGATAGGTTTATTAAAAGTAACATTTTATGATGGATTCCTATGCATATGTAGATTGTAGAATGCTTGAAATATAATGTTATGTGTGTTATGAATCTGTTTAACAACATGAAAGAATGTTTTGTAGATATCCATCACAAAGTTTTAAGAAAAAAGTTCACTCTTCTTTCACATTTCTGAGATATATCTTCTGATTGATATGACCTATTTTATATAACTTTTCATTGAAGGGTAAAAATTGTTACTAGCAATTCACTTAAGCTGCCTATGGCTAGAAATTAATATATAAACATGTGATAGGTGCCATAAGAGATTTTATGATAACTTTGATTATGCAAAAAATTTAAATTAATTTTTTTTTTATTAATCATTTTGGAAATCCTTCTTGTTAGTAGGTGTTTCACTCTTAGAGTTAACAAACTGTTAGTAGATGTGTTTAGTGTTCTCCCTAATTGGTTTTACTCTTCCATGAAAAATGTACATTCTAGGTATAAATAAATATACACTTCTAGCGTTTTAAGGAACAAAACAAGTAGTAAGCCAAGAACATAAGTGCTACTGTACTATAGTCTTTAATTTTTCGTCCATATTTTCAACTAAGGGGCCGCTATGCAGCAGTTTTATCTGTTGTTTGAATGGGCAAGCTCATCCAGGGATGTACCAAGGCCTTACAGAAGACCTACGTCAAGTGCGAGTGTTATAATTCTGTGTTTAACTCTAGTGATTGAATTAACCGGAGACCACTTTATTAAAAGGTGGCAATTCATCTGCGAACCTATGGCCATTGCAGATGCCTGTGGATGGAGTTTATTACTTGACATTGGTCGAACTACCAAGTCGCTTGCCATTTTTATACTTACACTTGTAAAAAAATACGATAATATAACTCACCTAGAACGAAATTTAGAGATTGTTCTAAACTGAATGATGACACTGAAGTTCACACGAGGCGACTATATTGGGTGTGCAATCCAAGAATGGAGAATTCTGACATAATGTATGCTTTGGTGAATGCTATTTGTTTATGATAATACATGATTATTTTTCCAAGTACAGCTTAATTTTTTCTTTATTTTTAATTTAATTTTAAGTTTTACTTTTCACAGTGCTCTTTTGTTTAATACAGTTCATGTTTCTTATTTAATATTATGATGTCTCATAAAAAATAAAATATCTTAAATATGCAAAGAAGAAAAAATGGTACAAAATGGTATTACAAATGTTAATGGTATGGTAATGTCCCAAAGCTCCGAAGGTTTCATGAATAAAGCATTTTGTTTGAATGATAATAAGTCGATCCTGGTTTAATTTTTTTGGGATAACTACTAATGATTATCTGCGAAATGCCACACTAGCATCGTACTCAACAACCACCATGAAACTTTTTACGCGAGTTACAACATTGCTCAGTTAGGTGTTTTAGATACATCACCCATTTATTTAATACAATATAATAGTTAATAAAAGTAACCACTCATAAATTAAAAACGTTACTACCGTATGTACGTGTATAATCAATACGTACAAAATACATTTTGTACGTATTGATTTTGAAATTGTTGGAGAATTGTTAACTAAACTTGTAAATTTTGGACGTTTTGCCAGAAAAAAGTTTACCCACTAGCAGAAATGATTACTCTTTAAATTTCTATTATATATAGGGTTTAAAAACATTATTTGATGACATATGTATTACAATTCTATTTAAATTTTTTTGAATGACCTATTTGGTCCTGTTCTTTGTGTTACAGGCCAAAACAATGTTTCAAAGTTCGTCTCAAATAATTTTAAGCCTGGATTCGCGCATCTGTCAATTGGACGCCAAAGACTGTATGCTGCTTGTGTCAACATTGACCCGCTGCTATATTTGCAACATCATTCAAGAACAATATAGGCAAATCGGTCAAAAGCTGAGAGACGGCGAGTTCGGAGCCTGTTTCGTCACTGAAGATAAATGTGAAGTCAACGGTGCCATTGAACATAGTCAACATGATTGCACGGAATTAAAGAAATACAATATTGTGGACGATGGTGCTGGATTTATTGTCAGTGAGCAGTTTTCTAACACGTTGATATATTGCGCTAGGCCTTCGTCTAGACTATGGGAGGCTACAGTAGACGGTATGGTTAGAAGAACACATCAGTTTAAGCAAGTTTTGTCGAAGCAGCCTATGAAAATACTTACTATGGAGACAAGTGCATGTGACATAATCTCTCATGGTGATTTTGATGAAGATAGCGCTGGACAATCTGTGAATTTTGCAAAGATATTTTGGATAAATGGTGCCATATTTTCATTTAGCAAAAATGCATTATATTTTCTAAATGTTCATGATGTAAACAATACTCTGTGGTTTGATAAATACAAGGGTATTGTTGATTGCAAAATATACCGTGACATGTTATACATATGGCTTAGTAATGGCTCTCTTATATATACAAGATTCATGAAATTAGATAAGTTTTTAGTTAAATGTTATCTAGATGAGAAATATGAACTTTGTGCTGAATTATGTGCCTTGTATAGTTATTATTTGCAGTCGAATAGTTTATCACCAAAACTGCACATCCTCATTGGCCTGAGAGATAAGTTACAGAACTGCGAATTATTGGATAGAATAAACACTACTATAGAGAAATTTGACAATTTAAAAATAAGCGAAGCAACACAAATGAAATCTGGTATTTATGTTGTTGACAACACATATCAAACTCAAACAATGCTGAATGAACACGCGGATCCCAAAATAAACGACGATAACATATTTTCAACAATTTCACCTGATACAATACAAACATTAAAAGGTATAAGTAGTGCTATGTCAGATAAATTCAGTTCCAGCAAGAAGATGTTAAGAGAAAAGTGGGAAGATATTGAAGGAAAAGTCAAACATTTTAGTACCGAAAAACAAAACATCCCAGAATCATCAATAATTATAAAAAATGTTGAAGAAAAAGAAGTCATACCAAGGAGAATATCCAATGAAGAGCAATCTATCGACGAATATCCAATATCTTTAGATAATGATATTATTTTTAAAGAATCTAGTCAAAAAACCATAGAAACGGACAATAATAGCATAGAGATTGATACAGTGTGCAAATCATTATATCAATATCATAAATTAAGTTTAGTGAATAAGGAAACTGAGCAAACGAATTTAACCTCTATTATCGAAAGCCACTCCTGTGATATAATTAAGATATACGAACTAATGCTATCGCTAGAACGGTACTGTGTTTCTATCGGAGCGTTAGACGAATCCAAATTCGTGCCGAACAATATTTTCCTGACATATTTGAGTGCGTCGCCCGACAACGGCGATTTGCTCGACGCCGTCGTAAACGATCCGGCGCTCTACGAGTACTTCGTCGACTCGTGCATATCGACGAACGCGAGGACCCGAAAGCTGTCCACTGGCTGCGAGTGCGGCTTCCCGCTGCCCCACCGGAACGAAACGCCCGCCTTTTCGGGGCTGATAGACCAGTTCGTGGAGAGGCAGTGGTCGCGCCACACGAGGGAGCAGTGCTACGCGGTGTGCAAACGGATGCCGTACTCGTGGCGGAAGATCCTGCACCTGAGGAGGAGCGAGGATCTGCTCAGCGTGCTGAGGATACTGCTGCAGATGCTCGACGAGGCCCTGCTGCACTCGTTCCTGCCGCAGTTCACGATGGACACCTGGGATCGTGCGGTCCAGCTGTACGCCGTGCTGCATGCCAACATGTGCCTGAACTGCGGCAGGCGATTCGACCACGTGTCCGTCAGGGACACGCTCAGCTGGGACGACCTGGGTTCGCTCATCGTGAAGTCGGTGGGCGGCAAGAGGGCCGTGGAGGTGATGAGGAGGCACGCGAAGCTGATCGACACTGGTGCCCTGACCCTCAAGTTCTACCACACGTGTCTCCTCGTCTCGATGTACGAGAGGTACGATGTGACCATCGTCGCGCAACTAGTGGACGCGGTGTACAGTTCCTACGATTTCGAGGAGTCCAGGTCGGAGGTGAGTCGTGGTTTCTTTTTGTTTAGAAGTAGTCCGCACTCGTCTGTGGGGGAGGCCTATGTTCAACAGTGGACTCAAACAGGCTGAAATGATGATGACTCCGTACTCCTTCCAGTAGTGGACCTAATTATTTTTTTGAATAAAATTGTCTTCCGTGTTGTATCGTTTTCAAATATAAATTTTACGTGGACAAAAACACAAATCAGAAACAACTATCTGTTGATCACAGAAATAGTTCTCCTGTGTGGGAATCGAATCGAGCCCATGTATACTGAGTCCTCATATCAATTAAAAAGATTCAATACGATAATATTAGCCGATGCTGTCAGTTATGTTTTATATTTTAATCACTGTATTATATTTTTTTACGTGATATATTGTGTTGATCGTCAATATGTTTCAAATAGTTTATTCTTTCCAAATGTATTTTTGCATTATATTGCTGCGCGAATGTGAAATAACTAAAAACCGACGAAAATCAAAAGGAACGATGTCTTTTGACGACCCAATTATTTAGCATCATATCATCATTAGATATTATTGCTAGATTGCATTAGCAAATAAATTTTAAATGACTGTAAATGAATGCCACTGTAAATTTAAATCTTTGTTTTTTACATACGAGAAAATGGCTAGGGACCAGTTTCACTTGGTGCTAAGTGATTTCTGCAACTCATGGATTAGAGATTTTTATGTTAAAAGTTGCCAAGCGAGCAGGCGGTTCACGTGATGTTAAGTGAATACCGCCGTCCATAGACATCTGCCACACCCGAGGGTTACAGATGCGTTGTCTCCGGCTACCTCACTCACCAGACGAAACGCGAAAGTATTATTTATACTTCCACTACGCCTGTCTTCTGTGAGGTCGTGGTACTTACCCGGACGAGCCTGCCCATTCGTGCAACAGCCGAGGCACGCAGCGCGTGGCCCTACCACAGTAGAGCTCTATTTTGGCAACAAAGTGCCAAGTTCCAATCGTTCGACGGCTTTGAGTATTATTACGCCATGTTCTAGCGCGAGCAAGATACCTTCATCCACCTGACTCTGATGGTCTTCGGCGTTTGTTTATATTGATTTTTTCTTCAGATCTGTCAGCTGCTCCGCTGCGCTAGAAACGGCCAGATAAAGAACACGGCCCTACCGCTCTCCGTCGCCGCCACGTCAGCGCACTGGGGATTGAAGCCCGTACGCGACAAACTGCTCGTCCTACGAAGGTCCAAAGGCAGCACGGAACACCTCACCCTGAACGGGATCCTGACGATCGTGTGCGAGTCCATCAAAGGTGGCGGCGACTGTACTCTGTGCGGGCTGCCGCTGAGGAACGAGGTGCTAATCAAAGACGGCGGAATATGGACATACAGATGTGGCCACACCTTCCACGGCGCCTGTCTAGATCTGAACGGCATCAAGCTCTGCCCGTCCTGTTTGATCAAATGACACTTGGGATTTGCCATATTACGATAAATAAATATAATAGTGCGTGGAGTCCCTCCGCGCGGAAGGAGGTAAAACTTCGAGTGCCACGCATTCACTCACGCTCTGTCTCTTTCTGTTTCCCATCCCCAGGAGTGTTGAACGTTTAACGCAACCTTTATCAGTACAAATCTCGTTCTTGTTTCAGTACAAATCTCGATTTATTATCGAGATTTCTACTGAAACTATTTATCCCGTACGTTCTGTTGCATTGTTATATTTCTCAATGTTATAATTGTTTCGCCTCTAGTTGCCTTCGGCCTCGCGATTGAGATAAATTTTTAATAGCAACGCTTGTACTTAGTGAAATGTATTTAATTGTTTTAAATATCTGTTTGTACAAATGAAAATGATAATTATGTTATTTTTTAACAAGTTAGTAAACGGTAGTCATATCAATTTATGAATAATAACAAATTATTCTCGTACCAATGTATTACTAAATTATTATACTATTAATAATAAAAAATATCATATTACTTATTCGTTTTTTTGTTACGTCGAAACTGGTAATTAATATACTACCTTCTTTCTTAATACAGACAAAATATTTTAACTCATTAATAATTACTTTAAAAAACTTTTAAGTTAAACGGTTTTATTTTATGTTTTTTTTTGTTAAATTTTTTTTTGTTAATAATGTATTGTCATCTAAATTAAATGTGTGTACCAAATTTCAGATCAATCTGACAACGGCAAGGTGCTTAAATTTCAATTTCTAATTTTGACCCAAATAAATAAACAAACAAATTCCGTACGGGTCGAGCTAAATAAAACCGTTTAAAAACGTGTTTCTTAGCGAGGATGACTTACATGTTTGAAGACGTCCCTGCAAATTATATCTAAACACACATACGTAACGGAAAAAGTTTGTAATAGTTATATTAGTATAAGATGGAGACGGTTATTTTTTCATTTTATATTTCTTTCTGTTGAAAATTTTATGAAGATTCTCGAGAGGTTTGTGAAGCTATTTTTAAGGCGCTGTATGCAGTAAAAATAGGTTTTTCAAAAGATTTTTTAGCAAAATCTACACATCTTATAGCAGCAAAAAAAATATATGTTAATCTTGATCGTACATTCTAAGGGAACATTGTTTCCAAAACATATTCTCGATATATTTTCTCGATAGAAAAAAATCACGAACCTACCTCTAAACGTGAATTTCAAATTAAAAAATAGATATAATAAATGAACAAATCTTAATGAAATTAATATCAGTGGTGTAGAATATATTAATAAAAAGGGCTGTTGTTTTAATTTGTTGATTGAAGTAAGATATTTGTAAATATTAATTTAATTCATTAAAATTATTCGAACGCGATGGCCAAAACACCGCGCCACCGCGGCGTTGTTTCGGCTCTCTTCCAACTCCACTCGTTGAACAGAGAGCGCTGAGGCGCCTTGTTAGATGGACCTATTCCGCTCGTCTTCAGCTCACTGTTACGAAATATGTTCCGTATTTATTTATTATTGAGGGTTACAATTTTATTAGATCTTTCGAAAACACGAAACTAAAATATATATATATTCACATATTTCGTATTTTTGAATTAACAACTAAAACGTAATTTTTTCAATATCTTATCTTGTCATTGATAAGTTTATCAGTCCTATACAAACAGTTAAAAGCAGGGATGCAATATGGGCATTAGATCTTATAATCTGTGATATTGCTTGTTTATTAGCCCAAATATTTAATTTATGTTTAGATACTTGCAAATTTCCAAAATTAATGAAATTTCAAGAGAAAATCTCAAGAGAAAATTCCTCTAATTTCCGACCCATTTCTATCGTACCAGCCTTAAGTAAAATATTTGAGAAAATCATGCTGGATCAGATGCTATTTCACTTTAATAAATATGAAATCTTGAACCAGCATCAGTTCGGATTTACGAAAGGTAGATCTACAACTGATGCTGGAGTAGAATTAATTTCGCATATCCTGCAGTCTTGGGAGACGTTCCATGACACCATTGGTGTGTTCTGTGACCTCTCCAAGGCATTTGACTGTGTAGATCATAAGATTCTTATTAAGAAATTGGAATCTTATGGTATTCGAAAATCTGCCATTAATTTTGTTTCCTCATATCTTAGCGATCGGGAACAAAAAGTAATTATAAATGGTATACTGTCATCGGGATCAATAGTACAAATGGGTGTTCCTCAGGGATCGATCCTGGGCCCATTCCTGTTTTTAGTCTACATAAATGATTTGCCATATGTGGTAGAAAAAACGTCTCAAATCGTTTTGTTTGCGGATGACACCTCACTGTTGTTTAAGGTTAATAGGAAAGATATTACATTAGAGCAACCAAATGAAATACTAAGTGTCGTGTCGGGCTGGTTTGCGACCAATAATTTACTTTTGAACGCCACTAAGACTAAATGTATCAGATTTTCATTATCAAAGCTGTCTCACAAACCAGGAATCTTTATTGATGACAACATCCTACCTCTTGAGGATTCAACGGCATTCCTTGGAATATGCATTGACTCCAAGTTGCAATGGGGAGCGCATATAGATAAATTAGCTAAAAAGCTCAGCGCTGCCGTCTTTGCCATACGCAAGATCAGGCAACTAACAAACGAGGCAACAGCTAAATTAGTTTATTATGCTTACTTTCACAGTATTATGTCTTATGGTGTCTTACTTTGGGGTTCCGCATCCGATTTAGAAACGATATTTGTACTGCAAAAGCAAGCGATACGGGCTGTCTATGGCCTGGGTCCACGTGAGTCCCTTCGGCATATTTTTAAAAAGATAAACATCTTAACGTTCCCGTCGCTATACATACTTGAGAACATCATGTATGTACGAAATAACTTACACCATTTTAAAAAAAAACATACCAAATCGCGTCGGGGCCGTGGTGACACGTTGGAAATACCGAGGTTTAGACTAGCTAAAACCAGGAAATCGTTTCTTGGTAGATGTATTAACTTATATAATAGAATAGGCGACATCCACAAACAATTAAGTTTAAATAATTTCATACATTTTGTAAAAGCCACCTTAATGGAAAGGGCTTATTATAATGTCGAGGAATACATTGAGGACAAGGATGTGTGGAAATGACTCTTGCTGTGCACTTGCAAGTCCCCTGGCTCCTGCTAAATTATACTAAAATAATTTTGTGTGTATACTTAAATACTTAAAAAAAAATAGAAATAAAATATAAATATATGACCGCTGAGTTTCTTGCCGGTTCTTCTCTTGCAGGTCTAGTTTAGTGAACCGGTGGTAGTTTTTGACGTTCAATAAGAGCTTAAAATAAGCCTATGTTGAATAAAGACGTTTTGACTTTGACTTTGATGCCAACTTAGGAATTTTCTTCCGAAATTTAGGAATAAAAAATGTGGAATGGAAGTTTATTGGGAGGTAAATTTTTATGGGAATATTTTTTTTGGAGTTAAATTTTATTCACATTTTCGAAAAAAACTACACAAAACAACTTATTTAAAAATTAATTTTTTTTTCGTTAGGCCAAGGCCTTTGTGTCTGGTATGAATATTTTATGTATTCTAATAATTTTTTATTCTTAACATATTCATTTCAAATGAATTATGTTATATTTGATGTTCTTGACCATGGTTTATTTTATCAGATAATTATTTTGCCTTTTCCTATAATATAAAAAAAATCCTGATTTTAATTTTAGAAATTTTTGTTTGAATTTAATAAATTTTAGTCTGTTTTCGAATTGTTTTAGGAGTATTATTTTTGAACAGTTGGTAACACAAAGTGTTCAAACAAGAACCATCATTCTATAGGGATTGGGTTCAAATCCCTACATTTTTCTTTTTTATATTTTTTGGTGATTTTTTTTGTAGGTATTTTTTTTTAATTTACCATTTAATTTTTGTTAATTTTTTTATTTTTATAAATAATTACAACGAAATAATACTGTATTTGTTGAACGTAGAACGCAACAGTTGGAGAACAATCTATCAGATAATAAACCAAGTTTTCATTATTTAAAATTTTTAACAAGTCTTATATTGTATATTGTTTTTAATTTGTTTTATTAAAATATTTAATTTTTTACCCTAAAACGAAAACTATTCTTTTACGAACACGAAAAATAATTGTTTTATAATTTTTGTATTTGTCACATTTTATCAAATAACAACAAAATAATTAATTGATTAACAAATTAAAATTGGAAAAAGATGTATCAACCATGACGCTCGGACCAATAGGCTACACGATGTCTGCGGAAGGGAACAATATTTCGATTCTAGTTATAATTGTTGTCTGTGTGGAATTTTATCGATAATTTTTTAAATATAATTTCATTGAGGAATTAATATAACGTAGTAAGTCTTTCACATTTAAAGGATAAATTAAAGATATAAAGTTTAAGAAAATATGTAAAATAAAAGTCGTATTCGTAATTTCTGCCGTGGAGACTATGAATTTGCGTAATTAAACTTTAAATGAAAATAAATAATTATTCGTTTATTTATTGTTTTGTTGTAAGAAATGTCATTTGCCTTTATTAATTTATTTGACCTTAAGATGTATTTTTAATTAATTTTAATCCGTTTCCTGATAATTTAAGATAATTAATAGGAAGTTTTTCTAAAATTGTTGATTGCTTTCTCATACTTTATATTTGTTTGTTTATGATTATTATCTCAATAATGTCTAATATGTCTATAAAATATATTATATTAATATATGTCAATTAATGGTCTATAAAAGATATTATAGAGATCATCTGTGTACATTTTCGAAAGCCTTCCATGATACTATCGATAGTGTCCTACGGCCCATCACTACACACGAGGTAATGAATGGTCTAGAGGCGCGTCGACGAAACTCGCGCGCTGCGCGCCGCTAAGCGGCGTTACCCCTCCTCCGCTTCCTCATACTTCACCACCCAAATAGTTAAAAATTCACTGCATACAGCGCCTTAAGGACTAGCTTTACTATTTCTTTTCAGTTCTAACGGTAGTATATAAATATAATTATTTAGGACACATTTTTACACAACGTTCTCTAGTCCCAAACTAAGCACCGCTTGTACAATGAGTACTAGTACTAGCCCAGCATCATGTCGTTCTTTTGTAAATAAATACATACATATTATACATATGAACACCCAGACACTGGAAAAACACTATGTTCATCACATAATATTTTTCCAATAGTGGGAAAATCGAACCAACACCCTCTGGCACAGGAGGCGGGTACACTACCCACTACGCCAGACGGGTCAATATAAAATTTCAATCACGATATTACACGATGGACCATTGTTTTCAAAACACGTTCTCCATAGAAAAAAAATCATGAAATAACCTTTAGAAATACGTTTTGAATAATACAGCATTATGTCTTTCAAAGTACAAGAGCCTTTTTGGTTTATTGTTTTATTATGATTTATATGATATTATTATATTTTATGACCATTTATTTTATATTATTATGCTTTAATAACGCTATATCTCGTGATTATCAAGTATTAATTAATTCATTCATTCATTTGAGGTGACAACTGTGTATATGAGACAAATAACTTATAAAATCCGCTTTCCGTAGAAAACTTGGCGAATAGTTTTTTATAGTGTACTTATTATCATTAAAAAAATCAAAACATCTGTTATCCTGATTAGGGTTGTTAAATGTTACATTTCACCAATTACATTGCTTGCACCGTATGTGTGTAGCTTCTTGACGCGCAATTGAAGCATTCCCTTTCAAACTCGGTATGTATTGCGGGCCGTTTTCAAATGGGAAACTGAAGTCTAAGATGAGCTTTGATAGACGAACATTAAACAATAATCTTATAATAATATTTAAATATTGGCGCCTCGCATCCCTTATGGTTTCCATTTTATTGTGTAGTCTATGCTCGCTCGTTTTATGCTGGCAAAGTTGTCAGCAGGGACATCCGATGGCTTGCTGGGTCCCGGTTACCTCATTTACCAGACGAAACGCGAAATTTTAATACTTCCACTGGAAGCCAGTCTTCTGTGAGCAACATGGTACTTACTCGGACGCGCCCGCCCTTATGTTAAACAGCAGAAGCTGTTGCGTGGCCCTGCCACAAGTTTAACTTCTAGTCCTGTCTTAAATAGTCAGTAGACGCCCTGAGGATATCAGGCGCTTAGGTCAGTTGCCTAGAGCGTCTGGGCGTGTAAATCAGATGACGCAGCCTAGAATCTCGCAGCATCGTACAATTTATCTCTTAAAGTCACATTTAAATTCGATCTTGAGAACTCATCATCATCCTCCTGCCCTTATCCCGCCTGACATGCGATTCATCTTGTAAGTGGTTTTGGCTATAAAGAGAAAAAAAAGTGGTTTTGGCTAGGTTATTTTATGACCGGCCACCTGCCTGGCGTCAAACCTTCTTGGGAACGGACACAGATCCGGAACAGTTATTTGTGAGCAAACGAATATTGTCCTCTGTGGGAATCGAACCCACGACCCCCGGCGCCGAAGCCAATAGCTTAAAGCAGTTGCTACCGAGTCATCTTCATGAGTCTTGAGCACTAAATATAAAATTAATCCTAAACAGAGAATGCGAAAAACGAAAAAAAAAAACACAGCTTATTTAATATTTACTTTTTATTAAACTTTTGGGTTTTGGCACAATGTTTGAATAATGTGACCTGGTTTATACCTGCTGGGTATTAAAAACCTAAATTTCACCTACTTATATATGCTCGTGGAGCGACAAGGTCATTTAACAAAACAATATCAATTGTAAAAAATAGTTTCATTCTTGCGAAAACCGAATGAACTAAAAGGGCATATTTTTAAGTACACGCAAAGAAATAATATAATATGCATACATTTTTTCCAAGTTGGCTTTCCGTTAACATGTAAATATATGGCAAGCTGTAAGGTACTATTTTACAGATAATAAAAACGTCCCGTTACGACGGCTAAATAAATAATAAGTGTGATGTCGATCGAGATCTATGCGATTCGCACACGGATTAAGTATCAATCATTTAAATAAACCTCAATTACCAACGTTTACATCAAAATATCGCGTATTTACAATTGGGTTCAACATTAAAATAAATAATTTAACGCCACCGCTCTAAAACCTTACACATTAACTATTTAATACTACACACTACGTAATCGATTAGACATTAAATTCACGTACACAATAATTTATTTACGCTTACATTGCTAACATTATTCACGTACGATATATATTACTGGCATACAACAACAACGTGACGACACACCAGTTTCCTTTTTCAATAATCGTAAAAATCATAACAAAAGCAGGCGCTCGTTGCGTTGCTAAAAAAGAGGCACACAGATTACAAAGATGTAATGGTGCTTTTACAATAATCATAATATATAGAAAAAGGTTAAAAACAATTGTCATAGACGTATAATAGGTGTGTATTCACAATCATAAAAAGAAAACAAAAAAGGGAGAGATATAATTAGAAAAATAAATAACAAAACTAAATGGCAAACAACGGCATCTTCGATCAAACACGCCCAGTTCTTCGTTATCTGTACAACTTTTTTCCTATCACTCGACTAACTATTATGTACTAGTTATTATGCTTGTTTCGTCTACATCTTACTATCTATTTCTACTAATTTAAATTGCACGATTCGATAAAGCGAATATTTGAGTCTGATAAAGAATGCACCCACGGAGTTCGGTGGGCTGTCTACGCTTCAATAAAACAACAGATATGTTTAGTTATATATTCAGAAAGAATTGACGATCTATGAATTGACCACCAAGCGACAGCAGGTAGGAAAATTATTAGCTTTCTTTTAAGCATGGATCACGTCCATTTTAAAGAACTATATAGAGTTTTCCTCTACATGAAAACTTGAATATCTTGTATATAGATTTTGGCTCACCGATATAGATTAAGTTTCTTAATGACCTGGGCTAAGTCTATGAGTATTAAATTCACTGTTACAATCATCTTTTTATTCATCTCACTGAATACGATAAAACAGTATGTGTTCTAAACACTTTAAATTTTCAAGCATTCCGCTTCAAATTTTTGGTTTGATACATTTTAGTACCTTATTTCTAGAGATTCTAAATAATAATATAGGTAGATAAGGGTTTAATTAATATTTATACATGGCCACACGATAGTAATTATGTCAAGTAAATACTACTACTTAAATATTATAATCATTAGTTCTACACATAATTTGAACGTAAAATATAAGTAGGTATGTAAGCCTAAATACGACCTTCTAGCCAAAAATCGAAATGTGGTTTGTAATATCTACAAGGGAATCGTGCTTATTTACAAAGATATAGCTTGCCTATTAAGTGTTACAGAACTATTTTACATATTTCCATAAGAAAAGTAACTTAACATTATGTACATTTATTTTCTAATTTTCTAACTGTTGGTTTAGTACCTACGTAATTGGCACATTCCATTTTTATACGAATTTTAAAGGATAGCGACAGAGATTGGAGCGTGGAAATTTAAGTTTTCGAAACGATTTTAATAAACTGCCCCTAGAATATTATATTCTTACACCACTAATGGAATAATCTCATATTAATAATTACATATTTGTATAAAATAGAGATCCAATTGCAACACTGGCATTAAAAGACAACCTATTACGGTGATAATACCTAAAGGAAAGGTATACGAGAGATACGAGTACTCTAGCACAGATAAGGTACATTACTTTAACCTTTATAACGAATAAAAAGGGAGAACTTGAACGAAATCGGTATTCGCGAGTGTTCGTTCAGAAGTCTCAAGTCCCAAGGCTTGAGGTTTGGAACGTCCTCGAGCCTTACCGCGTTACCAGGGGTGGTGGGAGGGTGGCATCGGGAGGGGCGCGGCGTGCGGGTATGGCCAGCCGCGCGCCGTACCTCAATCCTCCTCTCTCGGCGATAATGGGGGGGAGAAGGCAGGGTTCATGTAGTTCCCACCGTTGGGCGGCGGCGAGGTGTTCGACGGGCCCGGCGAGGGGAGGGTGGGGAGGAAGCCCAGCTCGCTGCCCCCGTCCCGGCACCAGAGTTGCCGCATCTCCTGTCGCCGCGTGCGCATCAGGTTCTTGTACTCCGATATCCGCATCTTCTTGCCGTCGACTATGCAGGTCCTCTTCGGCCTTGGGCGGTACCTGAAACGGCAGACCGAAGTATTTGAACCTGACACATTGTCAATAACTTTCAGAGGAACATTAGTTACAACTGAGTAACCGAAAATTTTCAAATTTCTTTTGGATGCTCATTTGTATCAAGGAATCGTTATTTACTGATATACGCGGAACCTTATTAAATAATATTGTGTATTTTCTCTTACGAATACATCGTTGTTTGTTTAGAAATATTTTGTTTCGGCGTTGAAACTTTTCGATATTGGTAACAAGTCAATATTTTTCTTTAATTAAAGCTTTTTTTTTATCTAGTATCAATCATTATTACAACTTATAATATTATTAATCATTATTAAATTACTAACAACATTATCTAGTTTCAGCAATCTATACCTGTGAGTTCAAAAAAGAAGAGCTATCAAGAAGATCAGCAATCATTTGTTACAAAATACCATGGCTCATAAAGTTTGTATTCTAGCAAGCGAATATATTTTACAAGAAATTAACTATGATATTATATTAACAGATCAAATTATTCTATTGAATACTACTATAGTTCATCTGTCACTTCTATCATGTGAGAAAGTGGCAAACGAGCTGGCGGCTCAACTGATGGTAAGTGATACCCGCCGCCCATGGGCATTTGTAACACCGGTTGCAGATGTGTTATCACCTTTTAATAATGTGGGCTTTCTACTATACGCCGGTCTTCTGCGAGGTCGTGGTACTAGCCCGGACGGGCCTCATTCGTGCAACAGAGAATACCGTTGCGCGGTCCTACCACAGTTAATAAATTATTATTAATCACCTGTAATCTGGATGCTTCTCCATGTGGAGCTTGGACAGTCTTGATTGCTCCTCGTAGTAGGGCTGTTTCTCGGCGTTCGACATCGCCTTCCACCTAGCGCCGAGGATCTTCGATATATTCGAGTTGTGCATGTCGGGGCACGCCTTCAGGATCTTCCGGCGCTCGTCCTTCGCCCAGACCATGAACGCGTTCATCGGCCGCTTGATGTGGGGCTTCCCCGACTCGTCCCTTTTCGGCTGGCGGATCAGCTTCGCCTTTTCGCCCTCCTCAGGCGGCGACTGGCCCCAAGACGAGGCTGGAATAGTTTAAGTCGGATTTAGATTTGAAATTAGACCGGATCAAAACAACACAATCTATGGTAGGATACGCCAAGTACTTGAAGATTTCTTGTGTATTCGACATCGAATCTTTTACCGATGGAAGCAACACAAGCTTTGACGATCTAATTGAGCAGATGGATAGAGCTAATTCTTCGCGTAATCTCAAACTTGATTTTGTTACAGATTACAAAATAGAAAAATATATAAGAATAGAAACAAAAATGCAAGTCTTTAAATATATCAGTAAAATTACAACTATTAGATTTTAACGTCTTATTTAATGTACATATTTCAATTATTCCAATTAACATTATAGACAATGTAGACAGAAAATCCAAGGTAAAACCTCTTTTCTTAATATCTTAAATTGCATAAAGAAAGTTATACAGCGATTAAGATTTATTAGCATAAAAGAAATAATTTTGGTAAATGAACACCATTACCAGAGAGAAATGCTGCGCGGAATACGTTTATTTCACTCATAAAACGGGCTTCGCTAAGCTACAAACGGGAAAAGTCCTTAATTCGTTAACGTGTGTACAATAAGCATTAAATTCTGGTGCCCAATTAAGCGTTTACAGTATAACGGCCTAAACTTTCGGAGTGGCGATAACAAATTCCCGGTTTATAACATTTTAATGTATCGCCTCATTTGATCCGGGGAGACCGTCAGAAGCCGTTCTAAGCCGGGCAGTAAATAATCTAAGGCACTGACTGCTAGCCGTAAAACAATCGTTAAACGCAGATTAGACGTTCAAGCAACTTCGTCTAAAGTTATAATGTAAAAGGTATAAATCTATTGTAGTGGAAACTTCAACATTTCTTATTCAAACATGGCTTAAACGTCTAAAAAATTAATATTAGAAGTAGCATTACAATATTACAATTTCTTTTAACGAGTTTGCAACTACTTGTAATCATAATTATTTAACTGTAGAATGCTTCATTACTATTGTTTTATCAAAAAAAAACTACTCAGACTTGAATAATTGTTTGTAGACGATACAAATCGGATAATACTTGTCCGGATGGAAATTAAATCCAAGACCCACGAATCAGATGGCAACTGTCGCCCATTCCGAAATTCGGAATCAGAACTACCTATACCACATATTAAGTAAATAGTTTTATTTGCACAGCGATTTAGTAATGAATCATAGACATAATTCGCCAGTTGAACATGGGACACGTACCACATGGATAGGTTTTTGTATGAAAAATCCCGAGCGAAAACTAACAACAATCGAGTTTTTACAGATGAGACTATCTTCGTGTGCTAGTGTTGCGTGTTCGTGTAATAAACATTAAGTGCATGAATCTACCGTAATTAACGGCGTTCAAGAGGCGCGAGATGACATTAGCGGGCACGGCGCGGATTCCCGATGTCAGCCATTACACAATATTAGCGTCGTCGAATGCACCCCCGCGCTAGCGCTGCCCGCAAGTATGTGGGTCAAAGCGGGACGGGCCCGCCTAACATTACGCTTGACGGATTCGCGACCAAGTGTCCGCCGCGATTAATAAGCCCGAGCGTCGAGGAAATATCCTCCTCTCAAACCGTGCGTTCTCCGTATTAATTTGACGCGCTGTTTGATAATTTATAACATCCTACGTTGATTTGCGCGCGATACACGGTTTCTGGACGACCGCGGTAACGTCGCGTGGAAATGGCGATTGGGACACAATTGTTTTCTTTTTCAATGATATTTATTTTGTAAACTCAAATTACGTATTGAGTTTCACCAGTTGATTGAACCATATTACTATTATTATTAATTATTATTATACTTATTATTAATATTACGACTTAAGAAATGAAAAATAAAATTTGATTGAGATCTTCATTTTGAATTCTTAATGTATTTTGTAAACGAATTTTTATCCTAAAAATTAACCGGATATTTTAAAATCGAAAATTGCCAAAAAGAATTAGTAGAAGAGTAGAAGAGTTTTGATTTCGTTCGTCACGTAGTAGGTATATGGCTGTATCTGGTGTAGGTTATTGGTTTTATTTTACTTATTTAATTAATAAATAAGTTCCATGAACAGAAAACCGAAACTAACCCGTAGCAATGTTTTGTTTTTACATGTCATCATTTATAATATTGATTTATCACGTGCTCAGCGGTGAAGGAAAACATAATGAGGTCAACTACTTACATTTACTCATGTTCGAATAAAAAGATTCGGAAATATGTGAAGTTCGCCAATCCGCAGCGGCATCGCGTGGTGGACTATACCCTTATACCCTCTGTACTTTGGGCTTTGCCCAGCGTGGGACAAATATAAGCTGTTACTTTATTTTACATTATATGTATACACGAGCATTGCCTTCGCCAATGAGCTTCTGGTAAATTGGCATAAAGTTTCAATGAACAGTTTCATTGGTCCTAGTACCGGTTGCTTGCGTAAAGTTGGAGGGGGGGGGGGGGGGGGGGGGGGGCTGAAATAATGTGCGACCGGCTCGTATTCATAAATTACATAAATTTAAATTTGGGCTGTGTTAATTTAATTAATCAAAATATTCGCCTCTCATCGCCTATCATGTTTTGTATCCGTCTGTACATCGCAGTAGGACGAGCGAAGAGAGCGGAAACGTGCGTCGCGCACGCCATCTATTTCTCGTTTCACGCAATTCTCTTGTTTTAAAGGAAACGTAACGACATCAACTATTTTGTAACCATTTCGGTTTGGGTTCGCGCCAACTATTTAAAGTAGCTGCCATTTGTTCGTTTTACTGTTTTGTTATATTACATTTGACGATATTTTTAATTTTATAATAAAAAACAAAAAAAAAAGTCTTTTATTCCCGCCGGCGTCCGTTTCATAATGCGGATGAATTTTTAATTATTGAGACAATTTTCATAGTAGACGTCGACTTCCTGCGGCCGCCTTTGCTTCAATAAATCAACGAGTTTTAAAATTAATATTTCTGTCGCAGCGGAGTCATTTTTAAATCATTCCTCGTATGACGTTTAGGTATGGGAAAGAAGGTCGTAAATTTTCTGGACTGGTGAACATAATTCACATATAAAATACCTGACAATGCAAAATATGTAAGATCCGTGTTCCTCGAATTCTTTCAATTGAGTTAACATTTTTTTTGACTAATCGTTTATTGAGCACAAATGATTTTAAGCATTTTCTAACCTAAATAATGAAAAAATGTGTGAAATGATCTATTTAAATATATTTAAAATATAATTTCACGAGACTGAAGTATCTTACATACAGTACATTTGATATTTCATGGCCGCCTATAGAAACACATAAATCTAGTTAATGATTAAATTACTTACTATAATTATGCTATAGCCGTATTTTACCTACTGATACTATATATTTTAAATTATAGCTTTTAATATTCCGTCAATTGATTGGTTTTTGTTTTCTGCAAAAGAATTAACACCTATCGGTAAATATATGTCTAACTTTTTAAATTTCATCGGCGGATCTCAATTGAATAAATTAGTAAATAAACATGGCAATATACTTGACTTGTGTATCACAAATAATTCCATTCTTAATGATCACGTGCGCACACTTCCTTCAACGGAACTGGTACCCTCAGATACTTTTCACCCACCATTTTGTATATGTATTTCTCTTGATTATCAAATTTGTAAAATGTCGCGTAAGCCTATCGCTAAACATGCATTCTTTGAAGATAACTACGTAGAAATCAATAACGACATTTGTAAAATTGATTGGACTTCAAAACTTTCTCATTTATCATCTGAGTCAGCAGTCTGTACATTTCACGAAGCTATTTATTCTATTATAAAACACCGCGTACCACTCCAGCTCACTCAACCATCGTGCTTTCCTCTATGGTTTTCGCGTCCATTAATTCATATTTTCAAAAATAAAAATAAGGCATGGATCAGGTGGAAAAAATATAAGTGTCCTTCCGACTATGAAGATTTTTCATTATATCGCGCCCGATTTAAAGCTGAAAGCAAAATCTGCTTCCGCAGATATATAAACGCAATCGAAGAGGGCTTACGCAAAGATGTAAAGAAATTTTGGCAGTACGTTAACAGCCGTAAAGATTTAAATGGTATACCTGATACTATAAGTTACGGAAAAGAAATAACTAAGCAACCCGAAACCGCTTGCAATCTCTTTTCTAAATTTTTTCAATCAGTGTTTGAACCATCTTCCATACGTTCAGATTTTAACACATAACATAACTCGCCCGGGATGTGAAATTTCTTCTGATATAATTATATCTTCAATTGATTTTAAGGATGACACGGTGCGCACAGTATTAAAATCATTAGACGTCTTTAAGGGAACTGGACCCGATGGAGTACCACCTATTTTTCTTAAATATACAGCGAACACAATCAGCATCCCTTTAACTATCTTGTACAATAAATGCATTCGTGAAGGTACCTTTCCTGCTGCCTGGAAAATCGCCAATGTTATACCTATACACAAGAGCGGCTCAAGACACGAAGTAGAAAACTATCGCCCAATTTCATTATTATCAACTATGTCGAAGGTTTTTGAGAAACTAGTACACAACTATGTATACTCAGCCCTTCGTAATGTTATTATACCACAGTGGCATGGTTTTGTTCAGAAACGCTCTACCGTCAGCAATCTTTTAGTTTACACAACTTTTCTCTTTGAACATATGGATAAAGGTATCCAAGTGGATTCTGTTTACACTGATTTCAAAAAAGCCTTCGATAAAGTAGACCATTGCATACTACTTCAGAAACTTGCATACAACGGAATTCGAGGTGATTTACTTAGGTGGTTTCATTCATACGTATCTAACCGAACGCAAAAAATAGTAGTAAATGGCTATATGTCACACCTTACTACCGTTACGTCTGGAGTACCTCAGGGCTCAATCCTTGGTCCCTTTTTGTTTATTCTATACATTAATGATACCAAAACTTGTTTTCATCACAGCAACTTTCTCCTATACGCAGACGACCTAAAAGTTTACTTACCTATACTCAGCGTAGATGACTGTCATAAGTTACAAAATGATCTTAACCGCTTATCTGCCTACTGTGTCAAAAATAAACTTCATTTGAGTATTAACAAATGTAATAGCATAACATTTACAAAAAAACGTAATGTAGTTAATTTTCATTACAACATAAATATCACATAAACATCAATATTTGACTTGAAAAGCATTGAATCGATCAAGGATTTAGGTGTTATATTAGACTCGAAACTTCACTTAGGTTATCACGTGGATCATATCACCGACAAAGCATTTCGCGCGTTCGGTTTTGTAATAAGACAAACAAACGTTTTTAGGCGACCATTATCATATATTTATTTATTCAACTCCTTGATTAGACCAATCCTACAGTATGCCTCAATAGTTTGGAACCCATTTTATGAAAGGTATAGTAATCAGATTGAACGTATTCAACAAAAATTCTTAAAAACGGTTTACTACAGATGCTACCGCAACTCTCTTTTTTCCTACTCCCAAGCTTTAGATAGGTTTTCACTTCTGCCTTTGAACAAAAGAAGAATTTTAAGTGATGCGTTATACTTATACAAAATCTGTCATAACCTTATAGATTGCATCCCTCTTAATAATAACTTGTTTTATCGCATCCCTAGTTGTTCTCAGCGCATTCGTCTAAAATACTCTCATAAATTATTCAATGTAAATAAATGTCGAACTAACGCCGGTTTACGCTCGCCGATGCAACGCATAGTGCAATCATACAACGACAACTTCACAAGTATGGATATTTTTGCTACTACGACTTTTTATTTTTAAAAAAATGCTACTAAATATTTAAATGTATAATAAATCAAAATAACATGTATAATCTTATCTCGCTACCTTATGCATTATATACATTACTTTGGGTATACGGTGTTGAATGTACATATACTTATCTGTTTGTATGTGTAATATGTTATTGTTTATATAAATTTTTGTACATTTGTTTGTATGCCTTAATAAAATGAAATAAAATAAATAAAATAAAATAGCTGCTTCTAAAACTCGTTTTGTGTATTGCCTAATAAGATGACAATATTATCTAAGAATTTAGATCGCTGTTTTCAGAAAATCGGCGTGGCCAATCAAACGGCCTTTTTTGAAGAATTCAAACGGACTATTTTAACAATGAACATTCATTATTTTTAATTATAAGTGCTTCTTTAAGTTTAAGAAGCACTTAGGCTTAGCTTTAATTCCCTGTTTCGAAACAGAAACGGTAACGTGAGTGTCCAACGTTTGTGACGCAATAAAATAAATTCATTTGAATGTTCCATGGAACTGCTCGTAGATGATTATCGCTTGCACTAATGCTCCTGTGTATATGAGGCGTTCGCCATCTCACAATATTTTGAGGTATTATGACATTCTTTTACTAATAAAATAAGATACTAGATACAAGAATATACGCGACTTAATATAATTATGTTTGTCGCTTATCGGTCGCCTCGCTAATTACCACGATAATGACAAAACAATATGAACACATTGGTTCATATATTGAAAGTATGGGAGGATGTTTAATTGTAAAGCTTAGTCACCTGCGCTGTCTCAAAGTAGTGGTTCCGAGTAAAATTTGGATGGCTTAAATAAATAAGGCAACGCAAGCTTTATTGACTTATTTATGTTTGAGACTTTTACACTTCCTTTTTATAAAACCGTAATATGCGTCAAAAGTTTACATTCTTCTTTTTCTTTTACAATACAACAATATACTATGCTGCTAGTTTTGTGAAATAAAACTACTTTAATGGAAAACCGTCCGTTAATGAACCCGACATCTGACATGACATGAGGCTAGCTAGCAGTTGACAGGACGTAAGGAAGTGAACGAAAATTATTTTAAGTTTTCTTATCAAAAACTCATTCTTTGATATAACAAAGTGTTAGATATAAACAATTTCGTAAACGATTCTCAAATTTCTTAAGAAATAAGAAATTTTACTTTTTCTTTAACTGGTGCCAGGACTATCAGAGTATAACAAGGAGGTCCGTTAGCAATTATAATAAAGCCTCCTTAGAAGCTTTTGGGTTTACACTGCGTTTGCACTTCCCATCAGACGACCCGCTTCCCTGTATTTCATTTATAAAATAAAACAGGGAATGATATTTCAAAGAATCGCAATACTAGACGTCGGTATCTTTTCCAATAAATATGCTCTTACCGAAGTTAATAATTCTGTATCAGCGTCATGAAAAACTTCTTAAATATCAGTACCAGTTAATTTAGAAATAATATCAATATCGTGTAAATATAGACTATATACCGTGCAATTATTAGCTTCCTAAAGTAACCGAATATTTGAAATAGTTAGCAATGATCCAGTTAGAGAATAAGTTGAATTAAACGGAATTGGCCCGCCTTACGGGAACCGCGAAGAATTGATTATATTTAGCAATTAAATTGGAACGCTAAAATGTTTGTGCGGCGACACGGAACATTTCTTCGTTTTCGCATCACGAGACGCCACCACTGTCTATTTATTCGCGATACCTTGTTTATTTTCGCTCGCAAATTGCGTAATGCCTCGTGTGTTTTGCGGTATTAATGCCCTTTGACTCCGTTTTAGCGCTAATTGTGCGTAGTATGATGTAACCGGTGTAGTGCGCCGTTTTGTGCATAATACTCGGCAATCACGACAGCCATAAACCGGTTTTTCGTTTTTCCGTTTACCGCAACCGTTTTTGTGCGTTATTAAAACGTTACGTTAACGTTAACGTTTTTTATTTATTTTATTTTATGTGAAAAGTTGCCAAACGAGCAGACGGTTCACCTGATGGTAAGTGAATACCGCCGCCCATGGACATCTGCTACACCCGAGGGTTTTACAGATGCATTGACAACCTTTTGAAAATTGGGCCCCGGCTACCTCACTCACCAGACGAAACGCGAAAGTGTATTTGACGTACTTCCACTTTACCAGCATAAAGTGGAAGTATGTTAAATACGTTCGTGAGGTCGTTGTACTTACCCGGACGGGCTTGCCCATTCGTGCAACAGCCGAAGCTGCTGCGTGGCTCTACCACCGTTTTTCGCAAGACTTGCTTGTAGTGGCTAGGTAATCGCAATTATATTCCCACAAAAATTGTTTAGTCATAGAAGTAAAAAACATGGAAAGGAGTAGTTGCGATAAATGAAGAAATGATTAAAATGATATTCCGATCATCATGATAGACAACACGAGCATATACTTTCAAAGAGGAGAGAGCTTATTTTTCTCCCTGCTGGCAAACAGCTTCCTCTGAGCTGAGGTTATTAAAAATTTACGAAGATACTAACCAAAATAAATTGCATACAGTAATAGTATATCTATTACTGTATGCAAATAGAAAATAACTCCAACTTTTAGACAAGGCCGCAGATAGTGGATAATTTTAAATTAAAATGTTTTATACTCCTAATTAATAATTACCGTACCTTGTTGTAAGAGAGCGAAATAGATGAGATTAAGGATACTTTAGCATCAATAGAATTCAAAACGGTAACAACCGTTTCTTCCAGTTTTATTTGTTGTAACATCACTTTGAAATTTCGTATGTTTATAGTGTGGTCTTAGTGCGTGTAAAATATCGATTTACTTAAAGCGGCTGTTGGCTAATAAATGATTCGATTGGACGCCTGTACTAATATTTTTGGTCTATCTACGCACCCGTGACGTCAGTCACTGGGTAATACCGATTGTCAGAAACGCTGCCGCTATTAAAACGTCTCCCTTTTTATTTATATTTTCTTCGCTCTACATATAAAATTGGAGATCGTGGATTTACTGAAGAGCTAGGAATAGTTATTTACGATATTGTCAGTCTTTTTTAAAGTAAGCAGACGTGGTGCCTGAACTCATGCATCGAGGTTGTGAGAATGAATTCGATTATGGTTCGTCGATGTATTTCGTGATATCGTAAATATACCGTGCACATTTCGGCCCGCGCGGAATTACTTATAGTACTATAAAGTAACAGGTACAAGCTGTCTCACTGAAAAGTAAATGCCTTCTCTGTGCAGATGATATTAGGGCACAGTCAACGACGCGACCCCTCTGCGGATTGGCAGACTTCGCATATCGTTTCTTTTTTATTATTTCTAAAACCAAAGAGAAAACGCACTGGTCAACGCTGGTCAAAACTGTCCGCGTCATCGTACCCATTGGCCGTGGGAGGCTAGGGCTCGATAAATGGCCAGTCGTCAAATACAAATTTTCACTACTCACTGTTGCACGAAGCGTTAAAGTCATCCTCCTTCTGCATGCTGTACTGGGGGCTTTCATCCATCGGTGGGTAGGGCACGAAGCGCGGCAGCATCATCGTCTGCGCTGGCGACGGTGACCTTTGCTTGCTGAGGTTCAAGGGGGCATCGGGGTCCGGTGGGGGGGAGCGGGCGGTCGCCGTCAGTTGTGCCAACTGCGCCGTCGCCGGCCAAGCGGAGGCGACCTGCAAATCAGGAATGAAATTTTGAGCTCTAAGGAAAGAATGTTAAAATTGTAACCACGCATTTAATGAGGAAGAAATGGTTATTATTTCTTTATCTGAAGTGCTGGGTAGCGAGTAGGCAGTTCGCCTGATGATAAGTGAACACCGCCGTCCAAGGACATCCATAGCACCATAGAGGCTGTAGACGCGTTGCCAATCTTTGAAAAGTTGATACCGGTTACCTCATTCACCAGACGAAACGCAGAAGTATAATCCTTCCACTTCACAACGTTTTGTGAACGTTATCCCGACCCAATCCAACCAAAGCGTACAATGGGACTATAACTTATTGACATACTTAAATATATCACACAAGATTACTCCAGTAGTGGGGATCGTACCCAGTCTCTGGTGCTAGAGACAATTTCACCACCACTACGCTAATCGGGTCATCACTATGTAGCAACATTTAAAAAGTTTTTTAAAAAAATAAAAGAACCGACTTCAAAAAAACTCTAATAACACTAAAAAGATTACAATAATACTGAATCTAATAATCAATAATTGAAAATCTAACCCATGTAATCTAACCTACCTACCCTATTACAAAATTTAACAATTTCTTGAGACGGCTCCACTGTTCACCATGGGTAATGGTTGTACTCCATAATTCCTTGCTAAAAAAAATCAATGACGACATAGAGACACATATTCCCAGATACTAAGTGGCGAATGACGCACGTAGACCAAGAGGTCATCTTCGTGTAGACAGAAAAAATTCGTTGAACGTAAACATACGCAAAAGATGAAAAGGCGTAGAAAAGAATTTCGTGGCGAAACGAGGAGGGACGTTTCCGCCAATCGACACAATCATTTACATCCAACCGATCCGAGCAATCACGTTGAATGACAAAAATGCTTATTGGTACACCGCAAATAAACTCATATGATTTAAAAAAAATAACGTAGGCGATGATCAGTTCCCTATTTTTTAGAGTACAAGCTCCTCTTTGATGTTGTGATATATACATTGTGAATTACGTAACAAATGTTTGTTCGCACTTCGTAGTCGTGAAAGCTTAGATTAGTGTGTCCGAGGCAAAAGAAAAATTAGCTACGACAGATTATTATTAATACTATCTTAGCTTTTTTTTTGGCAACTCCCAAATCGTTATAACCATTTCGGCTAGCAGATAGTTCTGTCAAGGACTACCTATACTACTGATTCGTGAAGCCTTAAAGTGGGAACTCTTTGTTTTTTCCGATTCCGTGAAAATTCGAAATCTGAATCGGGTCGTCTTAATACAAATGTAGTCATAACAAAGCTCGCTTTCGAAAAAAATCGTTTTCTTTTCGAAGTAGTGTTCGACACAAAATAGTGCAAAAGTTTATCAAGTATGTTGTTATTAATAAATTTTTGATGCCTGCAAGATACGCGCGATGAGAATACTTAAAAAAAAACGTCAGGAAAATCATTGTATTTCATCAATCACAGTTTCTCCCTAAATCAAAAATATTTCCAGAAAAGTTAGTCAGAACAACATAAAACATAAGACTTTAATTTTTGAAACAATAATTATAATAATTTTTAATCATGTGAGATTATCATAGTAGCACTTAATATAATAAATAGTAGGCGTTTATAAAGGTAGTCGAAGATTATAGCTAATTTTGTAATCATTGCTTTCTCTCTGTGTTTTGGTCCAGTTTTGATAAAAAATATTCAACAGTAAATGTTTCCATTGCGGGGAGAAACAAGTCACTGGCAATAGTAAAAATATTTGATTTAAATTTAAGAACACAACAAGATCATAAAAAGTTAATTAATTTATTAAAATAAAACTTTAACAATAACGTTGTAAAAGATAATTAGGCGCGATATGTTTCATATATATAATAACCATTAAAATTCACGTAATAATAGTATATTTGCGAAATATAGGTAGGTACATGATAGTGTGTACAGTGTTGTTAGTGATGCTAATTAATATAAAATACATCTTAGTCTTTTTTAAGTTCACCGCTGATGAATTGTAATGGGATGTATGAAATAAATTTTAGAGCAGTCTTTTAAAACATTGAAGTTAATAAAGGCTACAAATACGGGGAAAATCGTGATAAGCTAGCGAACAAGTCAAACAGTGTTATAAGATGTTTATGAAATAACTGAGCGATGCGCAAAGCAGATAAATAAAAAATTTTCAACAATCATCGCTCGGCTTTCTTGCAATCGTGACATAACAAAGTTACATTGAAAGAAGGGGCGTGCGTGAATTAATTTCGAGAGGCAACATAATATGAGATGTTTATAGTCGAAAAGTCGATGACGAATGATCGGCGGTCATCCGACGCATCTAATTATGCTTTTACTCAACCGACACCGGTTTCTGTGGTGTAATTAGTTTCAGAGCAACTTTCATTTCTGTGTATCGCAATAGGACAACTCTGATTTTCGTGTAGCTTTATATAGTGCTTCTTGTAAATAATGTGGTCGGGTTGTTAAATGAGTAATTACATTGAATTATAGCACTTCAAGCTTTTCTTATTAAACATCCCATTATAATGGTTTAGAGTGGTGGTATGTGTTGTCAAATATTCTATTAACATTTGTTTCTACCTTACTGCACTGCACGTGTTAAAATATGGCGACAGCAATAGATTAGCGATACGAATGTCTTCGGTAGGAGCTTTTGGTGGAGGGTTCATGGCGTATCGTAACAATATCAATTGAGTTGCTAATTATTGTTAAATTATCGTAATCGATGACATATATATTATTTTTGTAGCAAAAGGTACAATTTTTTCCCTTAATTGGTATTAATCTATTATGTTCAAGAATCAATATCGATCTGATAACTAATGTAAAAGGATCTTAACAGAACAGTCATCCGGGTACTTATATTAATAGATGCACAATGTTAGCATTGACATTATATGGACAGGGTAATATTGCTGTTATATGCCAAGAAATGGATTGATGGAATGCCATTGAATAGAATTAATTCGAAATTTATAATAATTATGCATAAATAACGCGTTTTAAAATAACGGTACGGCCGACAATTTTCATTGTGTCATTCCGTTTGGGTAATGTAAACACCGTGTCAATTAATAACCGGCGCACAGGATATTAGCTCACGCTCAAATGTATTGGAACTCTGAGAATTAACAACATAAACACAGTTCATCACCATTCCGGATATATTTTATTTATAGAGTACTTAGCTGTGAAAATTAATGCAAAAGGGGAAAAGGTGATTAAAATATATTACACTCTTAATTTTATTATTGGCGTGCTCATGGTTATGATATTGCCTTGTATTTTAAAAATCCTTTTAATAAAACTTGATGTAACCCCCAAAAATAAACAACGAAATCTTTTTAAAATACTACTCGAAACAACATTATGTATGCTTACGGTATAATTGCATCATACAACCGAAGTGTCCTCGGCTTTATTACATTGTTATATAAACTTTATTGGCCTTTATTTAGTCAGCATTGGTCGCGTGCCAGTCTCGCTCATTCATGGAGCGTTCTCTTGGATCCAAAAGTACGTCCGCACTAATTATTTTGAACACGTAATGCATTATTACTATATTGGATACGTTTCGCGAGGCTTCGACTTTCCAAAACTTGTTCGGGTGGTTTAAGCGAAACTAATTAATGTGTTTATTTATTTGTTGTTGTTTGACAACTTTTGGTGCGGGCGGACTTTTTACCAGTTTTACTGCAACCGTCGGTTTACGAAATGAAATTATGTACTAACTTTGACGAAATATCACGTTGAAATCGGAAACATACTAACAATTTTTTTTCATAAATTTTGGACGTTAAATCTAATTTTTATTACAAAATAGGTTAACTGTGGTAGGGTCACGCAACAGACTTCGTTGTTGCATGAATGGGCAGGTCCGACGGGTTAGGGGGTAAGTACCACGACCTCACAGAAGACCAGCGGAAAGTGAAATTTTTAATGCTTCTGCGTTTCATCTGGTGAGTGAGGTAGTCACTCATAATGGCTCACTTTTTTAAAGGTTGTCTACGCATCTGCTAGCCATCTCGGATGTTTTAGATGTCCATTGACGGCGGTATTCACTTAATATCAGGTGCTCGCTTGACAACTTTTCACATAAAAAAAGGCGAGATAGGGAACTGATTACTTCTAATTAGAAACGTTCTTTGATATAAAAACAGATGTCATAAATTACCTATATAAATATTACAAAAACCTTATCTCTCTCCTCTTAAAAAGTTATCCATTATGTCACCTTATTCTTCACTTTTCGCTCTTACTTCAAAGCAAGGCAAATAAGTTCCCCGTCGATAATACGTAGTATTAGTTCTACGTTCCATTCTGGTCTTTCATTTGTCAATTTATATTTATGACTTTATTACTTCAAGATCAACGTAAATTCTAGAATGACTTTCCATCTAGGAGAGGAAGTTGCGTACTTACGTTGGCCTGCGCTTGCGGTGGCTGTGGTCGCATCTGCTCCAAAAGGGGCAGAAGACCTAGTGGGTGGCCTGAGTAAAGCCCGTGTTGGCCACGTCGCACCAGCTCCTGGCGCCGAAGGTGCTCTTGCTGCAATCTCTGCAGCTCTAGCTCCGCCGAGACGTTGCCCATGTTCTGAGGGAGAAAATCATTCAGTTATTTGTACGCACCTTACAGTCAGTGACTTTACAGCAGTATTGGTTGGGACGCCAGTCGGACTAATGTCACCTTAATTTATGTTTTTCTTTCCTGGTGTTGTTATTTATAAATTGTTTGCCTTTTATAAGAACCACTACCAGGTATTTTGACACTTACATATCATCATGTTTATCGTTACATACGTGACAGGGTGAGCACAGACTTCACAGCAGCGATTTATGCACTTATAAAATTTCATAAACAGAAACCTCGTCACCGACAATCTTGTTGCAAATGTAAAGGCAAACATGGCCAAAAATAAAGAAATATATATTAAGTAGTTAATTATAGAATGAAACCGGAAAGAAAAAGTTGAAAGTATTGCGGTAATAAACACGACATGAAGAAAGAGAGAAGTTTTTGAAACCCATATTTACAAACATAGGCTTGCAAGTTATAAGATTATATAATTATAACCTACGTTAAAACATTTGTCGTTAAGTTACAATTTAAAAATAAATCGTTTTGTGGTATCGCAGCGTCTGATTCATTATTTTACAGTTTACTAGCTGCTGCCCGCGACTACGTCTGCGTAGAGGGGTGAAACTTGAGGATTGTATGTATTTTTGTATGTTGTATCACAAAAAAAATAGAAATTAAAAATTTTGTCTAAAAAATAAAGAAAAAATTTAGGGGTGGACTAGCCCTAACATTTAGGGGGATGAAAAATAGATGTTGGCCGATTCTCATAGATACCGGATAAGCACAAAAAATTTCATCAAAATCGGTCAAGCCGTTTCGGAGGAGTATGGCAACGAAAACTGTGACACGAGAATTTTATATATTAAAATAGTCATTAAACAATGCAGCAATCTCCCAATACGGAATGAAGTTTAAAATGAAATATACTGGCTGTTAAAAAATATTAAGGTTGCATATTAAAATAAATGCGAGATACAGTTGAAGATATAATATCAGCGTACTTAAAGAGCAGAAACGAATGTATCCTACAGAATCAACCGGTCCGGGCCTTGCGGTACATCCAGTAATCAGTCTTGCGGAATCACTCCGTGCGAATTTGTTCTGAACGATATATTGCCGCCATCACACGCTCGCGGTGACAAAGAGTTCGCTAAGATACGTACACAAATCAAGCGAGGAGACGCTCACTAAATCTCAGCGACCGCGAACCGAGCGCCCGAGGGAAAAAGGAACACCGATTAATTGCTTCGGGTGTCGCGAGACGAATGTCGACCATATACATTTTATCAGCTCTTCATTAAGAGCGCATTGAATTCTTAATGGTTGTATAGGACACGGCGTTATTAAGTGACGAAATCGATACGGCACGACGATACCAGTTTCCGGACGACTGTCACCGCCGACGCAAATTATGATGGAACGCCGCGAAAATTAACAAACGAAGAGAATTCCCGCGGCAATACGGTTCTCTACACCGAAAACAATCCTAAGTGGATTATCGAAGCCGAAGATAAAAAAGAAGCGCTAATGGAAGACAAAAGTGAACGCATAAATAAACATGACAAAATCAGGCGGGGGGAAAAAAGGCCGCGAGCCGTAATAGGTGCCCCTTACGGTTATGCGCAGCCACCGGTAATCGACCAAGTTTTTCCATCCGACCAGACAAATTGCCGTCATAACCGAACGGATTAAACTTTTTATTAAAAACAACAAGCTGAGCATAATATATGGCTGTAATCGGCAAGGGACAGATGGTCCCGAATAACGCGCGCGATTTATCTAATGTAAAAAAGACTTTAATTTAATAGTGGGGCGAGGAGATGTCCTAGCGATAACTGCTTTTATTTTATTGCCAGCCGTAATTTTGGCATTTCGGACGTGTTCTTATAACGTTATAAACGTACTCGGTGACATAAAATCTCGATTCCTGATGGAGTCTAACGGCTGAGGTATTGCAATTTATTGTAATATCGACGCAGGTGAGTTCTCTCATCATAAATATAGCTCTGAAACGAACTCTGAGGATACGAGAATTTCGCGGGATAACATTAAATAACGGGTCAATGATACCATCACCAATAGAAATGCTTGGGCGTGATTTAACTCCACGTGGCATCGAGTACGCGTCGAAGGCCGATCAATAAAATGGCGATGGGTATAAACAACCAAGGAAACGTAAACCATATGTCATTGGGTCCTTGGCTATCTGGCAGACCGAGTGAAACACAATTACTGAAACAGCTACGTAGCACGCGTATACATTATCAAAGATTAATTTTTGCGATACATCCATAAATTCTTTACAAGCCATTGTCACGGCAACAAATCCCTTTGATTAGGATGAAAGCGCGGATTAGGTTAGAACGTATATCAAAAACAATGTAGTTGGCGAATATAATGTAGTGGGAACTGACAAAGAGATCACAGATGAGGACCGGACATACCATGACATAATTTATAAAGTCGGGGCCGATATCAAAATAGTGTAATCCCGGATTTTGACCGTGTAACGTACGATTTTAGCACTTCGTGGTCGGACTTAAGGTCCACACACCGTTAACTCCAGAGATTAGGTGAAAATATACTGAAAGCTGTATAATGAAACAGACGTCACATTGACGTAAGAGATGCAAGATCTTGGGTGAAATAATAATATTTACTGTCACTGGCCGACATGTCCTCATTCCTAGATATATTATTCCGTTCGTATGTTAGGAATCTCTGCTATGTTCAAAATTAGTAGATACCTTGAATACCAATTTTCACTGTAGCTTGGGTGTTTGACATGAATAATAAATATGTCAAGACTTTTGTTTTTTACTTGTATCTTTCGAATCTATATTTTATGTTTCTTTTTTTATTTCCCGAACTGTTCCATTCTTTAAAACTAGGCAAGTAAACACAAAGTTGATCAGCATTGGAAGAGGAGAAATGTTCGCAACGCTAACATCAATCCGTGCTCTTATAAATTACGGTTCACTAAAAGCGTTGTATGACAGATGTCACGTGTTTAAAAGCTTTGTAATGTAATGTAGTGGCAATGAATCATAAATGAATTCGTCAAAGACGATTCCAGTTTATTTATGTACCGTGCAACTACAGCGTTGCCCTCGCAGTCTCCAAGCAGCGAATGTGGCAGATCTAAATGTGTTGATAATCGCTATAATGCGACAACAAAAAGGGTTCAAATCGGTTTAAGGGCACCGGCAGGGCTGCTCAAAGCGTATTACGAAGTTATCAGATGATAAATCAAAATGAATCGCTAATGCAACCGCGATAGATCGAAAGTAAAGAAGATGAAATTTTCATTAATCCATTTTCTATTAATCGGTTAGTGCGTGTTAATGATTTTTAGTTTTACATGACTAGTTTTTCATATTGTTTTCTTGGATAATTTACGAAAATAAAATACATCGTTTTACATTACTTGTATCTTTCAGAAACGCTGAAATTCCTGGAAACGGTTTACATGTGCATGTACATGTAGATTATAAATGATTTTATAATATAATGTAATGTACACATAGCACACATTACCTTTCGGTCTGGATACAACATCTGGTAATTTGATGTTTTTTGGTGAAGAAACACAATGAGTGAAATTAAAACACTGATCTGGGTCAAACATAAGTAAAACGGTGTTCGAAACTTATCTGCGATTTCACTCTGAATTAATACGATGACAATTCACACAATACCATTTAAGCAGTGACAATTCGAATAATAAACAGAGTTTAGCACTTTGCTTTCTTAATTGAACGAATACGATAAAATGAATCAACGGAATTCTGTGCGGACCACCCGTATTAAAATGGCCGCTCCATCCCTCTGTCTCAGGTTTGAATGCATTTCAATATCTCGACCGTTGGATTGTCCAATAACGCCGTGAATTAATTATTGAACCGCTGAGTTGCAATATTGCGTAGTCGTTCTTATCGCGATTGGAAGATCAGACCGGTGTTGACGACCCGACGGACGCCAGGTTCTCTACGTCCCTCGTTTTGATCTTGCATTAGCGATCCACGCCTAATGTCATATTTGTTTCATCTTAAGTTTTTAGTCCTGTAATGGAGTCTTTTTTATGTGAGAAGTCGAAAAGCGAGCTGCCGGTTTACCTGATTTTAAATGATAATCGCTGCCCAAAGACATTTGCACCCTTAGGTTGGCATTAGTGAAAACTTTTCGTGGTATTTTTCCTACGAAAAGTTTTCATATAAATTGATCTCAATTTTATAAGCGCAAAATACCTTCCCCTGTGTGCGAATTCCGCTATGCTCTTGTAGTCTTGTAGTTTCTTCACAGTTGGAGAAAGCTCATTGCGAAACGGTGATAGATTTAAAAAAAATACCATAGATAGATGAAATGTATATTTCTTATTTCCATGAATAAATGATTTGATTTGATTTGATAGTTTTGTGAAATAGAAATTATTAGACGTTGTGTAGGTCTGAATTGATGGACGTAAAAAAATAATTTTATCATACTAACTTCTCATTTGTCCTGTTGGTAGAATAAAATCGTTTTCTTGTCTATTCGTGACAAATTAAACCTTATACATTTCATCTCGCTATTATTACTACTACCTTTACTAGTAGAAAGTATTCACCAGACTTGTTAGTCAGTCTGTCTGCTGCCATTCGTCAACTCCTACGGTCGTCTATGTCGAGTACACCGTATTAAATATTTCGTGTCTATAAATAGAGGTCACATAGTGAAACGGATTTTCTTTGTAAAGAAAATTACGATCGGACGCCTAAAAGCTTGCTGTCGGCTCACACTGGCTTTTCCCCTCCCGTCGCAACTCAATGGGAACGTTTTGACAACGTTCGATTAAACTGTCGAGACGTCGGCCCTGCGACTATACGATCGCCCCGGTATCTCCGCGGGTGTCCGCGTGTCCGTCTGTCCGTGTGTTCACCGCTTCGATCTCGCTTGTTGTGATGCGTACCGTGAATTGCGATTTAACGGTCGATGATCGTATCGGGGTTCGGCGGAGCGGTGATTGTGCGTTTCGC